AAATCAGATTTACCTCTATACTCTCTCTTACTCTCTCCCAGCGCCCCACCCAGAAACCCACTATACCATATTAGGCAGTCTTTCCGCCCGCCTTGCAACTACTGATGTACCTTCGATGAGTCATAATATATTATGGTAATAATCCTGGTCTTTCACATCCCCCAGATCAACTCAAAATCACGTGTTGTGATATCAGCATTTACGCCTCAGGCATATCACATTCAGAATTCATGCGCAAGTGTCAGCTAGGGTAGCGGTGAACCTTTCATCATTATTAACGATTGTGGACACCACTGAGCCGTCGGTAAATGTGTCTTATCACTATAAATGGGTGGAGGAGTACTTGATACTGGGGGTCCAGACTTAAGCAATCTCGTTCAATCGAATGGTTGAACCCAGCAATTTAGCTAGTCCAGTCGTACATTTCAACGCACTGAGATTATAAACTCGCTCTATGAAGACTCTTCTCTGGTGTATGCTCAATCAAAAATATATACCGAAACCATGGTTATGTTCGAACCCATGCGACGCCCGACTTGGCAATTCTTGCGCCAGCCAGAGCTAAGGTCCCCACTAGCATGGAGCTACCCATGAACATCTGCATGTATAGATATTCACCGTCATCTATCTGTATCAATGCCCCTGCAATCGGGTTCCCTGTCAAGACATCAATGCTGAGAATGCTCAGAACCATCCCATACCTGACGCCGGTCTTTTTGAGGTCGGCTGTCAGTGTGGTCAGCGTGACGGAGAAGATGCCTTGCACTGCGGCCGTGACAGCACCATAAACTACCGAGAATGCGTACAGTCCCCCGACGCTGTCGACTCCGGCCCAGGCATAGGCGATAATTGCACTGAGAAGGCTGAACGGGACAAGCAGATTCATCGGGCCCGTCCACATGTCCACACAAAAGCAGGGGATAATACGAGAGACAATGCCGACGGCATTCATGACCATGACCAGGTTTATGGAAGTTGACTCCGACGCGTGAAGAGTATTTGTCGCATAACTCCCGATGTAGAAGAAACCAATATACAGACCCAAGAAGACGAAGAACATGCCGATGGCAAAGAGCGAATAGGGCGCCTCCTTGAACGCCACCCATTCGACGATCGGACCACTCTTTCGCGGCGGAAGCCGCTGTTGGAGGAAAAGCAGGCTCGGAAGAAGAGAACCCAGGGTGATGAACCCGAGAGTGCGCATCGTCCAGGCAAATCCTACCCGTGGTAGAAGAGCGTTCACGATTCCAGGGAGGACCAGTCCTCCTGTAGCCGAACCAGTCGCTACAATCCCCATGGCGAGGGCTCGTCGTTTGGTGAAGTATGTTGGTACCAGAGACATGGTGGGACAGAACATGAGACCGCATCCGATGCCTTGGAGGACTCCCTGCGTGAGGAACAACTGCCAGTATTGGGTGCAGAGTGAAGTCAAAAAGATACTAACAACTTCAGCCGTTGCGCCAATCACCCAAGTGAGCTTGAAAAGCCCAGCATCGGTCGCTCTTCCAGAAAAGGTTCCGATGAAAAAGAGCAGAAAGGTCTGGACGCTACCGATCCAGGAGATATCCGAGGGCGGGCGGTGCAGGGTTTCGGTATAGTACGTCTGAAAGACGCCAAAGCTGTTGATGTACCCCCATGTGTTGCACATGACAAGATGGGCCAGCGCGACTTGGGACCAGGCCTTGAAGCCGCCGTCGGGAGGGGGGCCGGGGTCTCGTCCTGATTCTCTCATGCAGATGAAGAAGAGAGTTCGGGCTAGGACGGTTGTAGGGGTTGATTGTCTGGTGAGACCATCACTTTCGGGTCCTGTCTCGTTTTCTTGATTGACATCAATGGAACCGATTCCGTTCTCGTCGCCCTTGAAATGAGGATATATCGTATTGTCTTCGTGTTGTTGTTGGCTGGTCGGATCCGCGGACTCCTCCGCAATCCTCCTTGAATTCCCGAGGTCTTGCTCCATCATTTAATGTGTATTCCTGAAAAATTCCAGGTCACGTACATATGCTGACCTGGATCTAGATATCAGGGTAAATTGGCAGTTTCATGCAGGCCTTCACGGGAAGTGATTCGAGATGTCCGTATCGTTTCGCTTCGTTCGTTTTGAAAGAGGCCAGAAAATAAAAGCCCGAAAACAAGAGGGGAGAGAATAGTTTATATGTTGTATTAATTCAATCCAAAAGCGGAGGATTGGCGATTCAGTCCTCGCCTCGGAGAGTAACAAAACCAGAATTCCGAACAAGCTCGGAATTTCTCGGTTACCATATTCAGGTTAGTCTTCATCCACTACACTGAACAGTAATAGGTAGTGAAAGTCTCATATCAAATGTGTTTGATTAGTTCATCTTTCTTTTTGAGGAAAGTGATGGAGGTTGTTAGATCATTTTACCCAAAAAAAAATATATGAAAAATAAAAAATAAACGGAGGATTAGCCGTTTCAGTCCCTGCCCAGGAAAGTCTAACCAAACTAGGCTTCCGAACAAGCTCGGAATTGCTCGGTTACCGTATTCAGGTTAGTCTTTCTCAGCTACACTAGGTAGTGAAAGTCTCATATCAAATGTGTTTCATTAGTCCATTGTTTCCTTATGAAGAAAATGATAGAAGGAAGGGTGTTAGATCATTTTACCAAAAGAAGAAAAAAGAAAGAAAGAACAAAGATAAAGTTAGTAAAACGGGAGAAACGAAAAGCAAATGATGACTCCGTATTTGTAGTCTGAATTATAATATCTACTCTGCTTAGGGTGTTAATCATGTTGGAGATCAGGGAAACAGAGTACTTTTTAATATGTAGCCTCCTTAGAGCGATTCATGAGGTAGATTTATAATACGAGTGAGGAGCAACGGAACAAATTTGGATTGTCGAAGATTTGAAGACCGAGTGTAAACCGTCAAAGCTCTGGTAAAACACAAAAAGCTTCCTCAAAGTCTTCCGGTAGGGGCGGGGAATCTGGCAACGACCCATGGTAAGTAAAAGACTGCATGGAATATCGGGCGAGCCAGATACTACCTACTCCAGAGTATGGAATCATAAAGATCAAATGGAGACATTTCGTCAAGCAGGCCGGTAAAAATATTGTCTGATACTATAGTATTGTTGTCGGCAGTATCTCTGCAGGCGGTACTTATAAGTAAATGACTTAAAAATGCGCGAGGATAGAAGTAGAATTAATAAAGCAAGAGTATTACACGTCAGGGAAGACTCACTCTGAGGTTGTGGGGAGAGGGCTGGGAAGAGGATGAATGTAGCCCATATCTGCGTTCTTCTGTCGAACATTGTGCGATACCTTCGGCCTCGATGTGCTGCCCTCATTTGGTTCGTTCTCCTTGCTAGGGGTACTCCGTCGCCCATAGAGGCTTTTAAGAGTGCTGAGCGCCCTTATATGCATCCTAGATAAGACAAGGTTGCTGGATTCGGAATCTCCGCCTTTTCCAGGGATACCGGTCGAAAGGACATTGATCAGACTACCTTGTAACCTCCGCACTTCGGGGTCATGATTTGTATCATCCATAAGAGCCAACAAAAGAGCTGAACTAATGCCATTATGGAAAAACCCCCAAGACCTCGAAGCGTATACACTCAAAGATTGAAGTTTTATGAAAGCACGCAGACTTTCTTTGAGATTCTGCTTACACTTTTTAGCAAGCGAATCCCGAACTTCGGTATCCGGCCAAGACCGTGTGCGTGATGAGAGTGCCGGACGACAGAGCCAAGATATCGCAAATGAGACATGTAATCTAAGTGCATAATAGTGGCAGTGCTCTTGAATACTAGAACAACGATTTGTGTCTTGCAGCTCGGGGCAGGACCTAGCAAATATCTTTTCTATCTCTTCGATATTTCTAGCAATCTGTGGGAATTCCTGTGTCTTCGACAGTGAGAGACCATGGCTAGCACAATAGTTGAGGTGATACATCGCTTCTTTGTAGGATAAAACCTTATCTTCCGGTGCAACCAGTAGAGCTGGGAGGGTAGCAGGTGGTCGGTCGAAACATAGTGAAAGGATGGTATCTTGCCATATAACGGATAACCTGGGAAAGGTGTAAGAGGTAACATCCCGTCTGGGATTTTCCGGCGCCTACCAGAGATTCCGTTTCATGTTATGAGAAGGGGGCGTCGTGTGCTCGTCACAATTTTCTCTATGGAGTCCAATACTCTGGGCCAACCTTACGGTTGTTCCTAGTAATATCCAAGCCGCTTCTGGTTTGCAATCATTCCGTAATACGTTTCCAAGTATCAAGAATGTTTGGACACAAGTTCTTGTTGGCTTAAGTAGGAAATTGGCCTGGCGAAGAAATTGAAATGAATACTCGGCTATTCACGGGTGAGCAATGGTAGGACGGAAACCATTCATCCGGATCCTGTGGGGCTTACTGAAAGCTTGCGAGAGCCGGATGCGCTCCTTGTAGCTAAGATCGGAGACCTGCACACCAAAGGCCAAAATCGCGAATAGGAGACCAAGCCAATCAAAGGGCTTTCCCGTCCTGAAACCACTTTGCATGTCTCTCGTTGGCTCCTCAAGAAAAGTACACAGCTCGCGCTCGAACTCATCAATTCCAAGAACGTCCGGCATGTATGGATGCGCCTGTTGTCGATAGCATTGGAAGAATCTAGCGAATAAAGATCAGTATCTGCCACCGTGCTTCTCTATTTGTTTATCCCTAACACATCCTAGACATAGAATCGAAACCTGCGAACTTACTTTACACTATCCCGGTCATTAGTCAATTCTTCCCAGGGATTGGATGACAATGGAGGCATGAAAGGGTATGGAGAAGCCACTGCAGATCTGAGTCCGAGCATAGGTAGGAAGCATTCATTCACAGAGCTACCCCCATTTGACTGATCTTTATTTTCAAGATTTTCAGATTCCACGAAGGCAGGGATCGAGTCATCCCCCAAGAATGGAGTCGTCCTTCCCTCTCTAGTGGTTTCGTAACTTTGTTCTGCTGGTCTCCACTCACGAAGTGAAGCACCATAGGAGCATAGGTCCGTATGACCTCTCTTCTGGCATGTTGCACATGGTTGTGTTCCATCACATTTCACCTTGCGTCCCCGACACGGTTGGCAGCTGGTCTTTCCTCTTTTTGCTGGACGATGAACGCGTTCCCTGAACTCTTCAGGCGACAGAATGATTGGATTGAATTGATTTTGATTCATATTCCACCAATCCAGGCTGTGATGAGATTTTTCAATTTTTTTTTGTTAAAAGTGAATCGGGGTTTGTTGCTCGCTGTCCTCGGTGGCAATTTTCCGTAATATATTATGACTCATCGAAGGTACTTCAGTAGTTGCGAGGCGGGCGGAAAGACTGCCTAATCTGGTATAGTTGGTTTCTGGTGGGGCGCTGGGAGAGAGTAAGAGAGAGAATAGAGGTAAATCTGATTTCGAATATTACTGTACAGAGCGAGAACTTAAACTTAACCGAGAGACTCATGGCCGCAGAGGACCGGATTTCCGGCTACATAGAAGCTATTAGCGAGGCAGAGGCCGAGATACAAAATCAAAAATCCATACTTAGGGAAGCACAGATAACTTATTCATCTTTATCAATAGGAGATATAACAATAGATAGCAATTTCAGAGTCGTTCTAGCTTAGATACCTACGAGGATCCGACTACCTCGTATAACTAATCGGGTTTCTACAAGGAATATACTCCGATTATTCTACAACTTTGTTTAATGAATAGATATAAGTACTTATTTCAATGGTGAGATAATCGTATCGTCTTAAGGTATACTGTAGTATGCCTAAAAGACTGGCCTCCGAATCCTTGCTTTAATAGCTAGATTTCTCTCCCCCTTAGTAGATAAAATATAATCTAGGAAGCGATAGCTCTAGTACCCTAGGAGGTAGAGGAAAAATTAGTCTATAGATATATATTCTAAATTAGCCGTCTTATTTATGACGTACGCTATGTCTTAATTCTCTATACGATCTGAATCCTTCCTATAATTATAATATAAATGCTATAATAACGTCGACATAAGCTACGACGATTTCAAATATATATACCTAAATATATTACGCGTCTAGTCTAAAATAATACGTTGTCCGTACTAATACGACACTATTTAGTGGTCCTTAGTAGAATAAAAGTGCGTGTGTATAGTTATTGCCCGCCCCGAACAACGTGCAAATTAGGTTGCTCTAAAGTTATAATGTAACGGAGTCCTCAGGAATCATGTATAGGTCTCTTGCATGGATCTCTCGTACCCCTCAAGGATCGCCAGCAACACGTCAGCGTTGGCTCACCGTAACGCTGATCCTCCATGTTAAATAGTCCAGTACAGGAGAACCCAGAGGTTCTCCAAGAATCAGTCTCTGTATTCCTCCAATATACTACTTGCTTCCCAGGCATCTTCGTCTTACCTAGTTGACAGGCTCTATCCTGCAAATACTAGAACCCCTTTCTTTACAAGCGTCTTCTTATAACGATCTACGTCCACGTATTTAATAGGATTCTTCTCTTACTTTATCTCGGCGCTTTCGTAAAGCCACGTTGCTAAATCCTTAACCTCGCAACGGCTTTAACATTATTAATTTAGGTCACTAGCATAGCTAGGATAGGACGTAGTCGGACTAAGAAGATCGTGCTAAAATATAAAAAGGCACCTTCGTATCTATGTTTAGAGAACCCGAGGATCCTAGAAATTTACCTTTATTAAAATAATGATACGGTTGTAGAATATCAATATAGATATATAACGTGATAGGCGGGAGGGGATAGAAGGCCCTAACGGTGGGGTAGGTAGAAGTCGAGGTAGGATAGGAATGCCCGACGTGTTTAATGCCCGACGCTTTAGCTCCGGTTCGGAATAACTTATATCTATCGGAATTTTGCCGCTATAAGCTTCTGATAGGGGCTATAAATCCGGACCACGTGATATTACTTTTATAGTTAGTTAACACGTGAGATAGGAGGGTATAGTTATAAAGTACTCCGTATAGTTATAATGCCTCTAGTCGTGGCTATGTGCAGATATCAAGATGCCGAGCGTTTTAGGGGGAAGGGTATAATCTAATAATATTCTGTTGTTATTCAGCTAAGGGGTCCGTGCAGTGGTCGCGCGACTTTAGGTGATTCTCACCCTGATTCTCACCCCGTCTATAGCACACTCACCCTTATCACCCCCGGTCGCGCGACCATAAAGCGGCTCTCACCCTAAACTCACCCTAGCGACACCCACCGAACTACTGACCGCACATAAGCCACACGCCGGTAAGTTAGTAGTTAGGTGGGTGACCACTAGCGAATCCTTACTGTTGTATGTTTTTGTTTTTGTTCTCAAGAAGAAGGTAAAAACGAATATCTTAACGTAATTCACTAGTGAGCTGCGCAGTTCGGAACACATAGTAAATGCGATAAATTACAACTTGATATCTCACCAACGTTGGTCTATAGGAAACTTTTCTTTTGCCCTTATACTCCTTATATAGTATCTAGCACTTTAACTAAGTTTAAAGAGTTTCTATATCTTGATTATTAAGATATATTAATATCGAGCTTCCATGTACGTAATTTCCGGTATTTTTTGAAATGATAATCACATAGCTTTTCGATGTCCTTAAAATTAATATATAGTACTAATAATACTTATCAATAGCTATCGGCAAGTAACGAATTGGAACAGATATGTGGTTGTTAAGATATAAGTGTAACATATATCGCATTTACTATGTGTTCCGAACTGCGCAGCTCACTAGTGGTGCGCAGCTCACTAGTGAATTACGTTACTTGAATCAACTCTTTTATGTAACGTCTTGCGGTGGTTCCTGAAGTGCCAGACGAATGCGTACTAGCTTGGGGGCGGTTACAGGGGTCCTTACCGCCCTGTCCTGGACCCTTGTAACGTCGCCACTGACAAATCCGGGATAAGCATGCCATCAAGCAACCCAGGAATCCGTGTACATCTGGAAAAAGTCTTTTGAATGCGCCTGTCCATTATTGCGCACCCTACAAAACAACCCCACTCCATGGCTCAGCTCAAAATGGAAGCACAAATTCAAGGATCCTCGTCTGGTCTATCCCAAAGCTCAAACGCCCGTTGGCTCGCTCTCACGCACCGCAACCGTTCTTCACACTCATCCTTTCTATATGGAGTCAAATCCACAAAGATTTACTGTCGGCCTACCTGCCCTGCGCGTCTTGCGAGGAGAGCCAATGTTGTGTTCTACGACACTGCAGAGCAAGCGCGGCGCGATGGATTTCGCCCGTGCAAGAGATGTCAACCAGATAATGCGGACTTTGCCGGAGACAGGGAAGAGGTTGTTACAAAAGTTATAGAGCTCCTGCGGGTAAGAAAGGATAATTTGACGGTGAAACTTGGCTTGAAAGAGTTGGCCAAGGAAGTCGGAGTAACGCCAAGCTATCTGTGTCGTGTATTCAAGAAGACGATGGGGATCACGGTAGGAACTTACTTGATGGAGTTTGAGAAGGAATCCAGTGAGGATGGGACGGAGAGCTCAGCGCGGACTCCCAGTCAATTTGGGTCGGATGTGAGCTCAGGGACAGGGTTGACACTCCCAGCTACAGAAGAGAGTCCCCAAGTGCCTTTCGGTGATACGCAGGGAGGAGTGTCAAAAGAAGGAGTAAGAAATATCGCGGAGGCTCTAGACTTGAACTTTAATTTCCACGAGTGCTTTGCCAATATTGACGATCAATTCTGGACCGAAGATTATTGGACTGAGGACTCCTGGAATGCAGGGTTCTGGAACGAAGGGTCCCTGTACTAAATGACTAGGGCCCTAACGAGTGACGCTTGTGACAATGTTGAATTCTAATTGTCGATGTTTATAACTGCTTTAATACATATTTTCAGAGAGCCTTGTGGGTTTCGTGTCGCCGATAATCTACCACTTAGTCTTCCAATCCCATCCTTTGACTTTGATCCTGACCCATAGAAAAGATAGAAATGCGGCCACATAGCTCAGTCCAGCAAAAAGAGCCACGCCCCAATACTTTTCTTTTCCTTTGGCCTCTACCGCACTAAGAAGGCCTCCTGCGATCGGTATACTTACTAATACCCCAAAAGATACTGCGGTGAAGCAGGTCGCATAGTACCGCCCATATTCCTGAGTTTCGCAAAGCTGGCCAAGGCAAATTGGTGTCAAGCTAACATTGGAGCCACTGCAAAACCCAAACAGTAGAATAAAGACGATCAGGAGTGCATAATTATCCAGGCTTGGTACAACCATGTCTGGCAGCCAGAAACATAGGACTGATACCGTGCAAAAGAATAACGAAACAATCATCGTATTGTACCGGCCGAATCGATCAGCCATATCACCGGCCACATACCGGCCCACGCATGAAGCAGCATTAAGGATTGCGAGAAGCTGGTATGCGAACGCCGACGACCCCGTCAGGGCCTCATCTTGAGAAAGATGCTGTCGATCGATGTAGTAGATTGGCGTGTAGGTGATAGGAATGAAATACGCCAGATCCGTCAGAAGGACACCAGCGGTTGTGACTGCCATTGCTCCAGTTCCGTCGAGAAAGATTTTTGGGTCCGGCAATGTATCTCGCCAGGTCGTTTCCGCTCCTTTCCGCGGGGGGACTCTGCTTCGGCAAAATGCCACGCTGATAGAACATAGCGCAAGCAAGACGAACCCCAGTATGCGTATTGACCAACCCCAGCCAACTTTAGGGAGAAGTGCTTGTATCATCAGCGGGAATAGGACGCCGCCGAAACCACCTCCAATAAAGGCTATCCCACTGGCGAGACCGCGACGTTTCATGAACCAATGGGCGACGCATCCCATTGATGGTGTAAGGAGCAGGGATGAACCGATCCCAGTCATTATTGAGAACGAAAGAAAGATCTGATAGTATTCTGTGCCGCCGTTAGCAAGGAAAAAGAAGTAGTGGCAGATCGGGCAAACATCAAACACAATGGGTTTAAAGATGAGGCAGTGCTTTCTGAAACTCGATCTTACCTGTAGATACACTGAGCGTGAAAATGCCAATCAGAGTGCAAACCGATCCGGCAAGTATCAGTACGCGGGGACCCATTGCATCAAACGTCGGACCGACTTGCACCCCACAGACCCAATTAACGAAGGCGTAGACTGAGAAGATCCAGCCAAGACTAGATGAAGAAACATCCGGTAAAAGTACTCTTGAGATAACGACTTCGAAAACCCCCGATGTATTGTAAATGCCCAGCGATGAGGTCAATCCACACCATGCACCAAACACCACTAGCCAGGCATCACGCCCACCCTCAGGATAAGTAATCTCGTCATCCAGGGGGGCTCGGTCGTCTGTTGGGGAAAAGTTTCGTGATGTTTTTTCGGGGTCGGGAGAAGAAGAATGTTCATTGCCAGAAGGCGTCTCCGTTTTGTCACCGAAGACATCCGAAGGCCCTATTGGAGGGGAACTGTGTTCGAAAATAGGCCCCATCTTCGCCATGTATTGCCAGTCATTCGATTGCTCGTAGCGAAGAATGAGTAATGACGTGTGATTGTGACTCGCAAATATTCGGGCATTTTTCAGCTATGTAAGGAGGGGAATGCCTAGTAGTTATAGTGCGAATATCTCCAAAAAATACCACGTGGTATGACGTTTTAACACAAGAGACACCAGTCAACCAGGAACAGAGCAAGGTAGAGGATCAAAGAAAGCAGAACATATGTACTAAAAATGGCCAATCAGAGGCAAGCGAACTCAAAGTGACCAATCAACGCCAAGCTTTGGCCTGTACTTGAATTAGCCAATCAGAGCCAACTTCCCACCGTGTACTCAATATAACCAATTAGTACCTAGTTTAGTCTGGGAGTACGTAGTCAGAGGCACATTTTGCTATGATAGCCTAGTAAATCGACAATGGAAGGCGATATGTGAAATCAAAGCGAACAATCAAAGCTAATGCAAATGGTACTCAAAATAGCCAGTAATCGGCCAACTCTTCCCTCATATAGGTTTTAGGATATGCCAAGTTACTGGCCGAATGCCAGGATAGCCTGAATGCAATAATCTCTATGATGCGCATTTTCCAAGGATTATGATTTCAAAGATTTACATTTGTCGTCTGAGTGCCAAGATCACCATATCCGTCCGAGCAGTATCGAGTAGTGGTTTTCGATTTAAGAAAGACTGATAGATTCATTCCAGCTATAAAAGGCAATTGGCAATACCCGAAAATTGATCATAATCTGAATTCTGGATTTATCCCCTCTTAAACTCAGCACACTATAAACGAATGACCCTTGATCCTGCGACGCTGAATGAATGTACCTCCGACCACAATGAATCAAAAATCAGTACCACCGCAACAATTTAGATGAATTGGCGTAAGTTGAAAATAAATTTGTTCACCGGTATATAGCTGACCGTCACGCAACCCATACTCCACTGCATGGGCTCAAATGCGCTTTTGGCATCCACCAAATCGATCACGCCTGCAGCAGAATAGCCTTGGGGGTACTATTCCAGCTACCAGCGACAATCATGTGCTCTTTGTCGTTTAGTTGCTCTTTCTCGTTCAGATGCTCTTTTTTGTTAAGTCCGTACACGGTGCTGTTTCTCCACTGTTGAAATTCGAAAGCCGTCATGTCGGGATAAATGGCAGGTTGCCTGTCCGACACAAACTTTGGCAAGGGGCCAACCGAGACATTCCGTCCAGCCTTGAAGAGATAGGCCATGGACATTCGGGGTGGAATCATCAGGCCGCTGCCCTCCTTCATTGCTTCCGGCGCAGTGACCTGGTGGATGCCTCCGGTGATCTTTCCATTTGTCCAGCGCGTCAGCGTATCGCCAACATTCACAATCATTTCTGTCGTATCCGTGGGCGGCAATGGAACAAAAGACTTGGTCTTCGAATTCTCGTCCCGGTCTTCGATTTCTAGACCACCAGTGCTGTCCTGGAACAGCAGCGTGATGGGACCAAAATCAGTGTGGGGTGCAATGCGGCTTGCCCGGTCTCCCTGCATCTCCTCAACAGGGATTGCAGGATAGTGAGTCAGTCGGAGGTCGGTGGAGCTGGGAACACAGCGTGCGACCAACGACCCATCATCGATACCCCAGGCAACCTCAAGCGCTGCCATGAGCGTTAGGCAGGTATCATCGCATTGCTGGTAAAAGTCTTCCATGAAGCGTTTGAAGCCCGATAGCTCAGGTGCTTTTGGCCATTGGTTTGGGAATTCAGTGTCATAGCTGGGGCCTTGATCAAAATGCTCCTAATAGTCACGACCTGTCAGGCTTTGAGCAGTTCGAGGATAGGTGTCACCGATACGGACCTTGGAATCCTTCATGAGCCTAACCCTTTCATCACGGTGAAGCCTCCCGACTTCCTCAACCCTCCACGGTGTGTAGCCACGCATGGGTCGAGGTCCTGTCTCATTCGGAATTTCATTCTTCACATCCAATGGCTGATCGAAGAATTTGTGACCCTTGCGAGGAAAAAGTCAGTGTTGCTGCCAGTATAAGCTTGTTCAAACAGGGCCTTACCCAGGTGAACAATTCGTTCAGTTCTTGTGCACTGAAGGTGTGAGCTTTGAGCTTCGCGAATCCAGTTCTCTCAAAGCTGTCTAGGAGTTCACGAGCAAATGTCTCACGCTGCTCTTGTGTTCCCGAGGTAAAGTGGTTGTAGTTCAAGGTCGAAACGGCCATGATGAAGTCTTGCGATGGAATGATGAGCAGTAAAGTTGAGTCAAGATGACTGAAAGAGCAAAGCTGTTGTTTGTTTGTTGTGGTTGATGATAAATAGAACTTGAGCTGTATGTTTTTTGACAGTCCGACATCTTTGGGCCTTTTATAGATTTGTACTGACAGACAATGTCAATGTTGAGTTCATCATTTACATGAAGCAAAACACTGACGACATGTCGTGGCAATTCTTCCCATCATACTCCGCAGATCAATCACTGCCATGATGTGTTGCTGTACTTACTTCCTCCTAACAGGCCTCCCAAGCTTCTGAACCCTTCTGCAATATGTAAGCAAAGGGTTCATTCGTAATTGGGCATTTTTGGTTCATCAAGCCCTCGTAGGTTAATTCCTGATTGGATATTTTTAGTTCATCAAAAAAATCAGGGGAACGACCAGCGTAATTGCGGTCTTTGCATAGCGCTAGAGGTATATTTAATCTAAGACCTGAGCAGTAATTGGCTATTTTGAGTACGCAGTCCATACCTAGGCCTGAGAATCTAGTACTTCATGGTAGTTTGCCACTCGTATCTTATTGGCCATATTTGGTGCATAATTGGTCTACCTTCAGCTATAACCCACACGATATACCTGTTCCATTTAGGATCTTGCCAATAGTTCATATGTTGGCTAGGTACATATTCACTGCTTAACTTTAGTTGGTCACTATGAAATCAATTTTGTCACTTCTTTAAGTACATGGCACGATCTTTAGAGTTTTGATTAACCTCCGATCGGGGGATTTTAAGATCTGGCTGCCGATGACATGTGACCATGGCGGTAGCACCGAACGATCACTATAAATTCAGGAAAACTGTCGCCTGTGGCTGATTGGCCATTTTCAGTACCAGAAAATTAGGGTTCGTTTGTTCATTGCCTTGCACGTCGTGCTGTGTGGCAACTTTAATTACTGGGTGCTATTTCTCCCGATTAAACTCTCTTCAGTTCTGAACCCTTTTGGTTTACGGGCCGCCCGCTTACCCCCGTCATGGACCCTTCTTCTCACGCCTAAGATATTAAAGATTACATCTTGTGACCTTATAGCGACGGTGCTTTATGCATTTTGTTCTGATATATGAAGAACAGGTTTGTTTCCAGTCAATCCGGACTTCGCAAAACTGTCTATATAAGTCAGCAAGGTGATTGCGTCGTATTGTTTCCAAAACAACACATTTGTTGCATCATATTACCCCGCATGAAATCCTGTTACATCGCATAGATTTAATATCTGTGTAGTTGCGGCTCAATTGCAGTTCGGACTGTCCTCTACCACTAATGGGACAATGCATCGCTCAACGTCAAATGATGCTATCTGCAGAATTCCCCCCTGCTAAATCTTGGCATGTACTTCCATATTACGTCGCGCGGGCTTGGCTATGCGGCACAAAACAAGTTAAGTATTTTATTCGCCTCCACAACAGTGAGGGCTTTCAGGTATGTGGCCGGCTGGAAACCGGTCAACCAGAGTCGGCTCCTTCAAACGCCCATGAAACAGAGGATCCCTGGCGCGCATACTATGATTATTATCCATGCTGGACCGGTATTGTTTTTCTGTATGTTCACCCTTCCTTTGGTTATATGAAGAGGGCGTTTCTTCTGAAAAGACGGTATCGAATCAACATGTCCACAGGCGCAGTCTTTTTATCCTCGAGAGTCCAAAGTTGCAAATATTCTAGAGAAAGACCCTCGTCCTCATAAAATACATGAGTGATTATCCCTTAGCGTCGGCCTAAAAAGGAACTAAGTCTATATCAGAGGATCGCAGTTAGACACGATTTCTACGTGGGCTGCAATATGATATAAATCGACATACTGCATGGAAATGCATTTGCAAAAGATTTGGTGAGCGAGCCGAGTAATTACCATATTCAAAATAGCGCTTAATGATTAAGGCCGACGGTACCGTCACTTTGAGGACCTCGTTCTATCAAATCCATGTCGACAATTATCTTCCCAAACCCGCCCCGAATATCAACCCCATGGCTGACCTGAGCTCACGGACGAGTTCCTTTCTTTCGTGGGGGACAGATGCCAGTGTCTAAGGTTTTATCAGATACCTCCTTCATATCTATGCCTGCAAAATACGACACCTGGGAGTCATATCGACAAAGCATACAAAGGTCCAACAAGGGCAAGAGATGGGTGAGTATCGCCCTAGAGTCGTGAGACTGGGGTGAGAAGGGGTGATTGCTTACTATCTATATTAAGTTTGGTTGTGGTATACTTGCTCTCAGCAGCATCGCTTACCTATATTCCTACCCAATCTAAATCTAACTCTACCTCTATTCTAACCAGCCTACCATTGAATCTTCGAAGTCGTAAACATCACTGCAGTCGAAGGGAGCCGTACTCCTCAGCTTTGTCCAGCGCATCGGTAACGCGCGATCCCTCTCCCTCGAACAGCATCCCGTCATAAGTCATCGCGCCTACAGTACAACCGACAATAGGGGCGAAGAGGGGAACAATGAAATAGTAGCCAGCCGCTGTAAACACTTCTCGGCCATAGATGATCGAAGAGAATAATCTGGGGCCAAAGTCTCTAGCGGGATTAAGAGCCTATTATAATTAGAATAACTTCACAATCTGATAACTTGGTTAACATACGTAGCCAGTCTGCCACCCCAATGCCGCGCCGATGCTAAGCAAGAGCAAAAACATTGAGAGCTGCGGAGCAGGGAACCGATGGGCATTTCCCGGATCGGAGATACTGAGGCAGCCAAACATCAACACGGCTGAGCCCAGCACCTCAGCAAACACAGCTTCCCAGTTCGACTCGAAGAAGGCCGATGGATAGGTTGAAAAGATGCCCGCCGAATGGTGGCCAGATGGGCTCAGAATCGAACCCCATGGAATGGTATATTCGGGATCCCAAGCTTTGATGGCCGAACGGTAATTGACATACACGATGGCAGCGCCGACGAATCCACCCAGAAACTGTGCAACCAGCTTGCCTGGAATGGTTCTCCACTGTCCTGCAGACGGACGCACAAGAGCTGTGCAGATAGTCACGGCCGGGTTAATAGTCGGACTGGGATCAGACAAGTAACCGGACAGGCAGACGGCAGCAGCCCAGGCGATGTTGATGGACAACCAGGTACCGTACTGGTAGTCGGAAAGCAAGCATTGGGCAACGACGCCATCTCCGAGGACGATCAGCAGGGCTGTGCCGAGGAACTCGGCCAGATATGGCTTCAATGCCCGACGTGGGAACATATTTACAGTATGAAATTATGTGATCCAGCGTCCCAGGGGCTGCCACGCTGTTTATTTAAACGGGAGTGGACCTTGACGTCATCTGCCTCGGACTTGCCTAATCCGGATCGCCGGGCCTGTTCCCCTCAATATATGTAGATAGAGACTTGTGCTATAAGTTACATGCTCTAAGTTAACTAACACATACATGTATGCTACACATAGCTATGCATATACATGTGCATTCATTGCTAAGCCCTTGGAAACGCACCAATCCTACCTTGCTCATAATCACGTTTGAATCTTGCAGTCCCCTTGCTCTCAACGCAAGCAGCTGTCGGTACAATTCATAGCAGAAACAATACCCTAGTTCGCACCTTCAACAGCTTCTTCCAAACCATTCACAGCTTCACGCTTATTATTGGACCCACACCCAGCGTAAGGGTTACCGCAATTGACGCAGCAGCGCTGTGCGTGACCAAAGAGGGCTTTCTCAGTTTCGACAGCCTCACGCTCATCGGTAGAGCCGCACCTAGCATAGGTGTTGTACAAAGAATGCAGCAGCGCTTGGTGATCGATCCGAACTGTAAACTTTTAATTTTCTAGACTTTTACGATATCCTATTAAGCTTTGCAACTAAAGTAAATCCATACCTCTGCTAGCTACTAGTGGGTGCTGAAAGAAAGCACCTTTCAGCCCTCGGCTTTAGTTACACGGTATAGATGAGTGGACCACGTATGAAGCCGCGGGTCCATGGGTCAATCCGAGATAACGTATTTCACATGCGAGCCGCCCACCCAAGCGAGCCGCCCACCCCAAAACACCATAGTAAATGCGATAAATTACAGCGTTATATCTCAACAACCATGGCCTATAGGTATTTTTCATTTTAGCATAATGCTTTTGAGGCGATATCTAGCCTCTTTAGGGAGCTTGAAGAAATTCTATGACTTCGTTATTGAGATATATATATTTGTAGCTCATGGCAGTGTAATTTTCAGTAATTTTTGAAATGATGATAATATGGTTTTTTGATTTCCTTGAAATTGAAACATAGTGCTAATAGGTCTTACCAATAGCCATTGGTAAGAAATGGAATATGACTAAGACGTGGTTGTTGTGATACAAGTGTAGAATATATCGCATTTACTATGGTGTTTTGGGGTGGGCGGCTCGCTTGGGTGGGCGGCTCGCATGTGAAATACGTTATAGGTGTAGCCAATGATAATATGAAGTATCAACCGACGCATGTCATATTCAAATATCGGTCTTCCGAAATATGAGAGTTTCTTTCCGAAAAGTAAATGGCTCCAGTTCACGCCGATTGTGCTCTCAAGCTTCATGCAATACCGAGCCTCCCTACTAGCAGCAATGCGTATGGAATGGCGCCAATTTATAGTAACAGAATTGACTATGTTTGTTCTTCAAATAGCCTGGAATCATTTATCCTCGGTTCAAACTCTGTGAAAGTGTGAACATTTTGTCGAGGATATACAGCCTGGTGTCGCCACTTCCTCGGGCCGTCCCGTCAGTGACAGAACTCAACCATGGAAGCCCTAAAAGAACTTAAAAGAGTAGTTTCATATAACATGCCCGCGCGTTATTACCTAGACTACCCTTATTCTTCTCCAGATAAAACACTTTGGTCCAAACAAATTTTGGACAACTTTCTATAGACCATGATCTACCGGAGACAATTTACGTCAGGTTTGCAGGAGCTTACTTGCAAAGGAGGAGGAGTAACATGGCCTTGAACTGAAGATGTGTCTTGTAACTTCTCAACACCCTTTGTCCATACAATTTCGTGAGAAGCTAGCTTGACGTTAAATTCTGCCGCGTAAGGTAGGTATCTACCTGGTAATAATTTAGGTTGTTTGTATCCATTTCGTTCCTTTGCTACGCCGTGCTTCAACTAAACTTGTTATGCGGGGAGACAATGAGCGCCAAAGAGGACGTGTAATTCCAAACGCAAGCCAATGTATGTGGCGGGTACTTTCCACCAATTATCCTTAGGGTAAGTAAACCCCACTGTACCCCGGAAACTACTTCGAAGGAGAGGCGATAAACGTTTATGCCTCGGCATGCGACACGAAACTATGACCTTTGCTCCTGCAGCGTTTCATTTCTACCATTTAAAGAGGGCTCGCAAAGAATATAAAAAGGGATTTGAGCTATAAAGTGACACATACTCGGCTCTATACAGCTTAAAATCAATTGCAGTTGGCATATTTCACGTTTAAGCGACACGCAAGTATCAAAATGAGGACTTATACATGTACGTTGCTAGCAGATGCAGTGGTGCATCAGGGGTTGGCCGTGGACCCTTTTTTGGAGACTAAGCATGGTTCCACTTTGGAGGTGACGCAATTCTCTGGCTCCTCTCAGTCTTGAATATACTCTCAACCCCCCTATACCAAGTTCAGCTCAGGCGGACATCGCGCAGTGACGCATATATTCTGAACTGTGACTCGCGAAGACTAGAAAAGTTGATGTGCCTGCCCCGATAAAAGTTGAAGCACCCCAAAGCCACTTTCTTATATGCTGTTGTACTGTAGCAGTCCATATATAGTCTCCTCGCTCCTCATGAATTCTTTTTAGGCATTTGGCCCCCGAATTCACGCCGGTTGCCTTTCCACCCGCCTCCCCACTTTGATACCATTGTTGGCCAGTGGCGGGCCCGTGAAACGTCGATCAGTTACAGCGTCGCTTGGGACCCCGATGCTCGATTGTCAATCTCCAAACTGGCCCGTGGCGGTTGAGCCCGGAATGGGGACGAGGCTGAGGGTTTTTTTATTTTTTCCTTTTTCTTTTAAATAGGGGCCGGGAGTTCTTCCTTTCACACCTGCCGAGTTATCCATTCCTTCGAACATGCACCATATCCTTTTCCATCTCTCCGCATTCGTGTATCTAGTTGGAGCGAGCAGGACTTGCTACTATCCTAGCGGGGATGTCGCGATCGACGACGTCCCCTGTTTCTCGGGCGATGCGGACTCGCCATGCTGCTCCAAAAACTCGATTTGTTTGAGCAATGGGTTCTGCTACGGCATCTCGCAGCCATTTACGCTAAGCCGAGGTAGCTGCACCAACAGCAACTGGCCAAAAGATGGGGTATGTGATGACAAATGCTCTGATGGTACGTACATCAGTCTCCTGAAGTTGTAGTTCTGTCTTCTCTACTGACATCCGTGGGAAACAGCTACCGAAATGCGCGCTGAAGGATGTGCCCTACCGCTTTATCAATATATTGACGACAAACCTTACTACTGCGCCAATGCCCTTACACTCAACTCCTCGGGCGACCTCAGCTGCTATGCAGGATCTCCTTTCACGCTTAATAGCGGTGAGCTTGTTTGGGATAAGGCCGCGCTCGTAAATTACACTTTGAGCGATAATAACTCGAAATCAACTTCAAACTCGGCTTCAAATTCAAACGGAACGCTGAACACCAAGAACGAGAATGCAAAGGATAACAACGACGTGGCGATCGGAGCTGGAGTGGGAGTCCCTTTAGGAGTCTTGCTTCTCACTGCACTGGGCTGGGCGCTGTACGAACGAAAGAAGCGTCACTCTCTTCAGGCTTTAGTGGCCGGAATACATTCTCAGGCGGCTGTGGCACAGTTAAATACCCAGGGGAATACACCGGTGTATACTTCACTTCGTGAGCTCCCAGATACCCAGAAACGACCCCAGGAGCTGGCTACAAGTGAAAGTCGGGTATGATAGGCTTTGTGGTGGTCACCAGGGTAAACTTATGTCTTCCTCGTTTAACGTTATATACATTTTAACTTCTATATCTTACTGCATGCTCTGGGCATGGAATTTCGTACTGTTCTAATTTATTGCCAATGTACATAGCCAAGGGCTGCTCATCGCAGTCGATGGAATGAATATTTGGATTCTGTCTCATTCATAATTATCTTCGCAGTCCCTGGTTTCCGCGCACCTCATAATCTCCTGGACCATCTACATCCTTTGACGCAAGTGGGGATGCCAATAGGGAGCTTTTGCCGAGCGTGTACAACTAGAACGGCCATTCCAGAGAGAAAGGAATGATCACTATAGGGTAGAGAAGATAGGTTTATCAATTAAGTTTAAGTTATACCATTGAGTCTTTCTTGGCGACTATCTAGAGCATGATGACGTTGAGAAGGAATTTAGTCAATAGTGGCGCGTTGAACTCCTTAGGGGAACTCCGAAACTCCGAGGGGCATCAGGCTCCACATTCTTTTTTGGCTTCGGAGTTTCGTGTTGATCTATTTGGGGTATTACTATATTCTCTGGTTGAAATTTATCTCGCTCAATAAAATTTATAAAGATCAGACACCCCTAATCCTTCTCTTCTTTCCTTCCTCATTTATCTACCACATCTGTTACCGCGCAGATGACTCGTGTACTTTTGACGGGTGGAAGCGGCTTCATTGCCGCTCATGTACTCGAGGTTCTTCTAGCCCGAGGCCACTCCGTTGTCACGACTGTTCGTTCCCAGACTAAGGCAGATGCTATTCGACGAGCTCACCCGGAAATCGCCAACGATCGCTTGTCATTTGCAATTGTTGAAGACATTGCTCAGCCAAACGGTATGACAGTTCTTCAAATTATCGTAAATATTCGCAACAACTACTGACCAAGGATCTAGCTTTTGACCAAGCAGTGGCCACGGACCCTCCCCTCGAGGCTGTCATTCACACGGCCAGTCCATATCATTTTCACGCTCAGGATGCTCAGGAGCTCTTGATTCCAGCCATCACAGGCACAACAGGAATTCTCAAGTCCGTGCAGAAACATGCGCCTCTCGTGAAACGAGTAGTAGTTACCTCATCTTTTGCTGCAATCAACGATGTTTTTGCCTCATCTGCCGACAAAGTTTACTCGGAGGTTTGTATTTTGCACAAAGTAACACGTCGTCTTCATCGCTGATATGAAGATTAATATTCCAGGCAGACTGGAGTCCTATCACAAAGGAACAGGCAAACGTCAGCCCCGCCAATGCATATCGCGCAAGTAAAACGTTCGCTGTAAGATTCCTGGTCTTTGATCAACGAGGGTGCTCCGACAACTAACCCATTACCCACAGGAGAGGGCAGCATGGGAGTTCATTGAGAGAGAGAAGCCCAACTTCACGCTCTCCGTCATCAACCCACCCCTCGTCCTGGGGCCCATCGTCCACAATCTTACCTCCCCTGATACCCTCAACACCTCCAGCCAGCGAATCCGGGACCTCGTCTCCGGCACAGCAAAGACCCGTTGCCCCCCGACAGGGAACTACCTTTTCGTCGACGTGCGCGATCTCGGCCTAGCCCACGTCCTCGCCGTCGAGAAGGCAGCTGCCGGAGGGAAACGGTTCTTCGTCGTCTCGAGTCATTTCTCCAATGCGGAGATTGCGAAAATCATCGGAGAAGAGTTCCCCGAGTACAAGGCTCGATTGCCAACGGGAGATGCGTTGAAACCTGGGGAGTACCCCACAGATGGCGTGTACGGGTTCGATAACACACGTGCGAGAGAGATTTTGGGAATTCAATTCAGGCCTTTGAGGGAGAGTATTGTTGATGCTGTGAAGAGTCTGTTGCCTCTTGGTATAGATAAGACCTGAAAAGCTAGATTGTACAGAAATGATTATTGAATAATATTTCTTTTTCGTACCTAAATCTCGATGTTTTCCTCCGCGCAAATTCTATAAACCCGAATTTTCTATCTCTGATAAAAGCTGTGACAGATCTTTTCGGGGGTATACGACATGAGCAATGTACTGTAGTGTGAAAATAACTTACCATTTTTTAGGGCCACTATAAACACAGAATAGAGTTATACTTTGATCACCTCTTGGAAGTTCGGTCGGGAATAGGTGGATGCCATATTCTCACAACCAAAGAAAGAGGGCTGACTAGGTAGGCCTCGCAGGTATGAAATCCATGGATACAAGCTTTGCTACCCATCGCAGCTGTTTCCGGGCCAATAGCTTCAGATCCTTCCCGATAGTTTCGGATCGTGCATCCCGAAACTCCTTTGGGAAGTCCATGATTCCAGTTCCAGGTTGGGATACGTGTGATCAAGTCTGCCAAAAGCCGGGGATCTTCTCATAGAATATATAAGTTTAGTTGGGCTTTCCTCACTCTTATCATTGAACCAGAACAGAAATCATTGCATATCCACAGCAATGAGCAGATACTGAGCAGCAGATGCCTCGCAGTCGGGAGGTCGGTATCCTCGTTGGCTTTGTTACCCGCATTCTCACCATGGCTTTGCTGATGAAGTATCTGATCCAAGCTGAGAGGGGGCCATGTCCAGCATCGCCTTTCGCTCCCAAGTACCGTTGTCCATGTACACATTTGTGGTTCTGGATTTTAACTGATGTTCTCGGTACCTTGAATTCTGAACTAAAACTTGAAAGGAAATATGACTGACGGGTTCCAGCTCAATGTCCACCTCATGGTAGACGCATAATGTGCTGGGCAGGCCTTGTTCTGCTCTGGAGTGAAGCCATCCGGGGTCAAATCAGCCATCTCTCACGGGGCAACTCTGACAACCAGCGTCGACCTTGAGAAGTCAACTTACCTGAATAAGTTTTACGCATGCATTGGCGTGTCTCAAGCCACATCAGCCGATCCGATGGCTGATGAGATAAGCAGCTAGAATGGATCCCAAGTGCTTCTATCAGCCACAGCTTGGGGGCCAATATAAGTCGATTTCACATCTTCTCTTCCTCCTCTCTTGTGCTTCTTCCATGAAATCTGTCCTACTCTCACGTCTTTGATCATGTTCTCCACCTTTTCCGCTCTCAACTCCACTGATCGCCCGGAACAACCCGCTCCACCCCGTCCCAAGCGAAATCAGGTTGCGCGAGCCTGCGACTGGTGTCGCCTCAATCGCATTAAGTGTGATGACAGGCTGCCATGCCAGAATTGCCAAAGTCGTGGCGGCCACTGCAGTAATACCAAGCAATTTGAAGCCCATTCACTGAAAGCCGCGAATCGGTAAGATCCGCGCCCCCCTTTTCTTTTTTCCTTTGTATTTTTTATTCTTCTGGCTTAGCACCTATTAGAGATGGCTGATGAGAGACTAACAGGGAAATACATCGATTGCGAAATCGGCTCAAAGATTTCCAGGAGCAACTGGACAAGGTGACAGAGGAATCGAAAAGACAGCTTGTAGCCGCCAAGCATCAGTCACAACAACCCTCAGATAGCTCCAATTCGATCTCTGGTATTGCACCATCTGCCGAGCTTCCAGATTTACATCGCATAACATGGGATGGCTTTCAAAATCCAGAGTCGCGGACGGGGCGGGTGATCCACTTTGGTCCTTTCTCCTCACCGTACATGGTGATGCGCCTCAACGGTTACATGTCCGAATCTTCCAACCAACGACCTTTGAATTCTCCTATCCCAGTTCGCATCTCACAGACACACCAATACTCGCTCACATCTTCGCTAGAGCAGCCTTCAGATGAAGCGATACAGCCCAGCCTTCGTCTAAGACTGGCCGAGGTCGAAGACCTATCACGGGAGCAGGAAGAGAACTTCCTGGTTCTTATGTGGCAGGCCTATCATTGCATATATCCTATCATCGCAGAGGAAGATTTCCGAGAGTATTACAATTCTCTTTGGGCTGGAACCAACGGCCAAGGCCCCCGCCAGCCCTCCGCTCTTGTGGACAGCCTGTTGGCCGTCTGCATGCAGTATGGCAGCACTTTTTTGGGCGACGAGGAGAATATGGCAAATGGCGAAAAAGAACCGCAGGCTGTGCACTTTCATACAGCCGCACATACTTTCTACCGTCGGAGTCAGCACATGCTGATGGACACGTTCGAGCACCCTTCAATCCCGACTCTGCAGAGCCATATCTACTGCATCATATATCAATACAACGTTGCAAACCTAGATACCGCTCTTGCCCTTCTTGGGCTAGGCATCAGAATTGCTCATATGCTGCGGTTACACCTCCGACCTCTGGGCTCTCCCCCACGGGCAAGCCAAGAGCTGCATTCTCGGATTTGGTGGACCTTGTACCAGTTGGACAGCCAGATCTCAATGTCGCTCGGCCGCCCGCCGCTAATCAACCCGGAGGATGTCGGATGTGCGATTCCCACTGACATGCGTGACGCGGTTCAGCTGTCACCCTCTGTGTTGGTATTACCTCCCGAAGAGGAACTAACTTGGCTCAGCTTCCACGTACAGTATATCCGCCTGACGGCCGCGGCGCGTGGAGTCCAAGAGGTGTTCGGTTTGCGCTGCGCCGAGGTGGTACAGGTGAAAGATATACAAGACATTCAAGAGGATCCGCCCACTCTCGAATTGCTCGCAAGATTTATGAGCAGCGAAATTCGCCCCATGTACGACTGGGTGCAGGCCGTGCCACAGTCTCTCAAAAACCAACGTAAGGGTTCAGGCGAGGCCTTGTCGACAGACCGCACACCACTCAATTTAAACCCTGCTAGCCCGCTATGGCTACAGCGTCAACGACTACTGTTGGAAATCACATATCATCATTTTCAAATTGCCACTCTCCGCCCTTTTATCCGCTTTCCTCCGCGAGGCCCGTCCCTCACGCCACTGACCGATGGTCTCGGCATTTCTGCTCTCAACCATGCCGTCGTGTTGACTAATATACTAAAACAAGTCCTGTCAGAAACGGATATACTATCCGGTTGGACCCCAGCTTTCCAATATCAGTGGGATGCCACCATCTGCATCATATCATTTGTACTTGCGAACCCGGTGTGCCCTCCTACCCCAGCCGCACGCAACGTCTTGCCAGCAGCCTTCCAAAATCTAAATACTCTCGGCAAGCCCTTTGCCCCTAGTACCAATTCTATTCAGCTTGCATGGGAGCAGTTCCGTTCCAGTTCAACGCTGCGTGGGTGGTCCCAGTTGACACCTCCAAGCCAAAGCGCCTCGGACACAACGGGGCTGCTAGGGTCTGTGCCGTCTTCCACTGGCATGGATACAACTAGCATGCACATCACTGGGACTGGAGTTATGGCTTCTAGCTCACAGCCTACCGATCCATTTTCCGGATTGCTAACCTCGGCAAAACTGCCCTCCAATGCTATTATGGGGAATGAATTCCTCGATTCGGCCGCTATAACTCCCCCAATGCATCTCATGGACACATCTTTCAATCTACCTATCGATATGTTCATGGAGACTGGTACCCGATGGATGCCGAGTAACGCGATACCATTGGATTCTTGGAATGCCTCTGGATCTTAATGATTATCTGCTGCGTTTTTCTTAGACTCGTGCGTCCTTCGGGTACAATTTCAGAAAAACAGAAATATACATGATATCATTGCTCCAATAACGTGTCCATATAGAGCCTGAATGCTTGCAAGCTTGTGCTGTAGCTGGTCGCTGAAACCACGACCAGTTAGATCCCATTTTCTCCCGTTTTGTGGAGTGGCAAGGATTGGCTCTTAATTTAGTAAAGCTAGACGATCTCTTGAAAGTCCACGATTAACCAACTTTAGTGATAACGACTACCGAGAAAAGTTGAAACAATTAGTGAGTGTATCATTATAATATGGTCTATCAGTCATAAGCTCTATATAACGCGATCTAGGGAATAAACATAACAAACAACCTCCCAAACCCCCAAACTAGTTCTTGTAAATAGACACCATGGACTAAGAATAACCATTAGCAAATCATTCCACATAAAGATAGGAAAAGGAAAAACTCACATCAGCGAACTTAGGCTCAATAAACAAAGCCTTAGCCTCAGCAACCATAACAGCGCCCTCACTATCCTCCCGCAAAAGACTAGCATCAGGAACAATAGCCCCCGACTCCATCGAACAAAGCGGCAAAGAAAGAGGCAGATAAGTCATCCGCCCTTCAACCCACGCCTTCCTCCCCTCAACCTTAACAGTCTCAGTGCGCAGGACATACAGTCGGTCCGGGAGCGCAGGCTTTCGGAAATCCACATTCAAATTCGCTGTCATGCCAAGTCCACTGGGGAAAGCAGCGGATACACAGCGAGCAAAGACCTCATCGAAGAGGACGGAGAGGAGACCGCCGTGCACGAACCCCGGGTGACCACATAGGTCTTGGCCGATGTGGAATACTGATACTACACTGCTGGCTCTTTTTCTCTCTTTTGCCTGTGTGCCGGTCTTGCCTGTGGATGTCCACATGTAGGGCTGGAATGCGAGCTTGCCTGTGCCCGCTAGACTTCCACCTACGAAGTGGTGTTGTCTAATTGCTGGTGGGATTGCGAGATGAGGGCGGGTTTCTTTGTAGGCCTTGTGGGAGTCGCGGAGAGTTTGGACGATGGGGATTTGCGAAACGAGGGTATCGAGTTCTGTAGATTCATGCTGGGGCCGTTGCGATGTACGTGCCTTTTGTTGTTGTGCATGAGAAAGGAATCGTGAACCCTCGGGTGTTGGTACATGTCTTTGATCCTGGGGGATTGCCTGGTCGTGGACGACAGCAGAGCGCGACGGGCCCTGTTGGTGAAGGCGTGCAATGGATCCCGTCGGCGAGTATGACTTCAATGCCAAAGCGTTTCGAGATCGGAGAAGCCGACGGGCTGTTTGTGAGACATTCGACATTTCGAAAAGTATATTTGGAGACCAATATCGGCTTTTAGTTGGGATATAACTGCGGTTGCGTCAGAGGGACTCGTCTAAATGCCGGCCGGGGTACATACTCCGAAAGAGGCTCAGACTGCGACGTCGGCCTTGAGGTGCGTCGCCGATCTTTTAGTTTAGCGTTGCTCTTGAACTAGGGCTGCAGCAATATGCAGTAGATCACACAGTTGCGGATTGGGGATGCCGACGAAACGTGCAAAGTGTAAAATACTTTCCAGAAATAAGAAAGAATCGGCAAAACGGATAGAACCTGTTCCTGAAAGCCACGCGATTTTTTTTTGTCGGGTCCATCAGTGGGGCGCAAAGTGCCGACCTTCGGCGATAGGTATGACGATGATTCGGCATGCCGATCCCGATAAGGTCCGGATCGTTCTAGTTGTAACTCCCTTTGCTTTGCTGGCTTGCTCCTGACGCATAAATACACAATCAGTGGCAGAGGAAGATGATTACTTTTCTTGATCCTCATAAGTATTTAAACTCTAATAAGACGAGGACATCTGCTGTTCAACAAGGTTGCTCTACCCAGATGAGCTGTTTAATATACCATTTTAAGGAAGTTTCTGCGAGACTCTCTGTAAATATGCTATTGAACCTACCCTTAAAACAAAGTACCGTCCCCAAAGTTCAAGATAGGACTAGACTTAGTTTCGGGGCGATTAGCCGCCGCAAGCTCACGTCCCGCCTTCCAAGTGCCAGCCTCCAACACCTGAGGCAGAGAAAGCTTGACACCACCAAGTCGTTCAAGAATCTTCACATGCAGCACATCTAGAAGGGCAACGGTCATAGCTCGCCACTCCACAATCTCGTCGTCACCTGCTCCATAAGAAGGCAAAGTACCACCTGACAAATCGAGTCCGCGCTTCAAAGCCTCAGGCTTCAATTCGAGAACACCCATGTCAACAAAGAGTCCACCATTGCGATATTCGGGCAACCCGGTGCCGAGCTCGGTATTAGTCCATGAAACTGAGAGTAAACGGGAGAATGGAACCATCAAAGAGTATGCCAACCACTGAGTCAGTTTATGGAAAGGTTGGATATTTGAGAATGGCTTAGACTCGGCATCAGTTTGTTGCGAAAGTGCGCGCAGAGGCCATGCATCGCCGATTGGTTGACCCTTGACGTGTGTCCGGTCAGTTGGCCAGATGGGAAGTAGGAGGCGCTGCAACACATTCCAGAGGTCTTTGTAGTTGAGTTTTCCTTCATTTGCCTTGGACTTGATCAGAAGGAAGTCTGCGATTCGGAGATTTTGTTAGCACAGAGTATATGCAGACTGATCATCGTCGGAATTGGCTTAACTTACCAACTAGATTACCAGGACGACCGGAAGGCCCAAAGACATCTTTCACATTGAGAAGGGATTCCCCAAGTTTACGAATAATATCAGTTCGTGCAGGAACCCCTATCATAGGGTTGGACTCGGTCACCTGCAATCCACGGGACAAGGTATCGACATTAATATTCCGCAGCGCATCACCTACCACTTATTAGCTCCCCATCAAAACCACAGGCACGGAAGAACTTACCATGAACAGTATGCTTAACATCGGAATCCTTATCAGCAAAAGCCCCGTTGAGGAACATATGCAACGCCGCCACGGCAATACCCTCACTCCTCGTAAGAGTCTGGCCAGTCTGCGACTCCTGGAAACGCCAGTGATCTCCAGCACCGGCATCAAGGAGAACAGAAACAAAGAAGAGATCAACCAGTCTCCGGGCTTTCTCGGTGGTGTCGCATCCCTGCCCCTCCCATTCAGCCAGTAGAGTGTCTATGCGGGGAACCCCGCCGACTTCGAAATGCTGCCAACGCCCATGGGGTGGGATTAGATGGTACTTGTCAGGGCCGAAATCGCGCTGTGGGGATTAAATTGGATGAGTATGATATCTTGGATAATTGAGGTTGTATACAATTCAAGTATAGGTATGGACTGTACCTGGATGAGCTTTAGTACGTAGTCGGTGGTCTGGTCCATCCGCTCGCTGTGATAATTGAAATGGTTCAAACTGCCTTGTTCGGCCAATTTTAGCACGATATGGGCTCTGGAGCGAACGGCCTCCAGGCTTAGCAGTTCTTCGATTTGGGGATCCATGGTGGTATAGAGAGATGAGGTTGGAGGTGGAGATGGGAGTTGGGGTTGGGGAAGAGGGGAAGTACATGTATTTAGTACATGAGTCACATGTACATGTACAAGAGTGTTGGCGTGTCTGAGGTCGCATTGGGCTGTACTGTGACGTGAGGTGTTGGTCTCTTATCGGCCTTCGCCTATCTCTTCTCCAACGGCTTTAGATAGCGAGTTCACTCTTAGATAACATCATATCATAGCTAGCAATACAGTACTGACCTCTTATATTTAGTATATAAGCCTCGCGTCTCAACTTGAAAGACCGTCCTTTGTACTACACACTGTCTGCGCTCTCAGGCCTTCTCGGCCAACTTGAGGCATGGAGTATGCCGAAGCAGCATGGTGATAGACCAGGACCTCCGAGGTTAGGTAACAAAAATATGCTTGCAGATTGCGATTGGCAGAGAAAGAGGACATTCAAAACATGTTTTGGTATGCAACACTATATCACAAGTACTATCCTTTTTACAAACCCCAAACGCTCCAGTAGTCACAAATCAATCAGAAGGTGAGCGGGTCAAGGTGTCCCAGGAAGGCTTTATTACCCTCACCACGGAGCAGAGCCTCGACATCAATGCGACCGGAAGTAAGATATTTCTCACTAACACCGATGTTGACACGCTCAGAAAGCAGCTGCTTCAACTCTGCGCGGAGCCCGGCCATCTCTCCCTTGGTCATACCGCTAGCCTCCTTCTCACGCCTATGGCGGCCACCGCCACGGCCGCGGCCTTGACCCTGAGACTGATCGAACTCGTCACTGTCGTATTCCACACCGAGATCATCAGCGGCAGCGCGAAGCCAGTTATCCTCTGTGTTGATCTTCTCTTTGGCGATGGTTGTGTCGGTGATTTTCTTGGCGAGATTGATGCGAGGACGAAGGCGGGCCACGACCCGACGATCAATATCGAGAGACTCGAGAGGGAGTTTCTTGGAAGGTGCATCACCCTCAGCCTTGTGCTTCTTGGCATTGATCTTAGCGGCAAGACGGGCGACGCCGACAACCTCTTCGGGGGCACAAATCAGGATACTCTTTCCAGAGGCACCGGCACGAGCGGTACGACCGGATCGGTGGACGTACATGTCTGCTGCGCGTGGGACGTGGTAATGAATGACACTGTCAATTCCCTTGATGTCGAGACCACGGGCTGCGACGTCGGTGGCGACAAGGATTGAGCTTGGGTCCGCGGTGGGTGATGAGAATCGCTCGACGGAACGAAGTCGGGCTTTTTGGGCCATGGAAGAGTGGAGGGCAAATGCAGGGAGTTGAAGAGCTTGCAAGAGCTGGGTAATGCGACGGACAGCCGAGATGGAGTTAGTGAATATAATTGTCCGGTGCTTGGGATAGTATAGAAGGACTGAGTAGAGGTAAAGATCCTATTCAAATGTTAGCACCAATGTAGACTTTGGGGTAGTCGTGGATGGGTCTAACCTTCTCCATAGCAGGACATTCAACGATTCCTTCCTTGAGACCCTGGGCCATCTGGTCCACCGGGTTCACATCGATGAACTTGGGCTTCTCCTCGCGGAAATTTAGCTTTTTTAGAAGGTACTCCATAGACTCCTTGTTGTCCAACATATCACCGTTTGTCCAACGGCCTTTGCCTGCGAGCTTTTGTTGAAGGTCACGGTGGAATGTAGCAGAGAAAACAAGAGTCTGTCTCTCTGACGGTTCCTCCTCCTCCTGGGCTTCCTCATCCGTGTCTTTAATATCCCCAGCTTGATGCTTGTCAAGAGCGCCAAGGATATCTTCGACTTCCTTGAAGTGACCCTCGCTGAGAAGTCTGTCGGCCTCGTCAACGACTAAGAACTTGATCTTCTGCATCTTGCGGATGAGACCCTGTCCTTGGCTCAAGATTTCCCACACTCGACCGGGGGTTCCGACGACAATGTCAGCCGCAGCGAGTTGTCTCTGCTGCTTCTGAATAGACAGTCCACCGGTCAAGAGCGCAATGCGGGCATCGGTGTCGGGGGCGTTGGCAGTGAGCTCTCCGATGTGCTTTGCGAGCTGGTGCGCCAACTCTCGGGTAGGAGAGAGAATCAATGCGATTGGTGTTGAATCAGACTTCTCGGCCTTCTTGTCTTGTTTCCCTCTCTTGTCGAGGTAGTGTTCGATAATTGGAATACCGAAGGCCAACGTTTTACCAGAACCTGTCGAGGCCTTTCCGACGACATCGTGGCCATCCATAATAGCGGGGATACTGGCCTTCTGAATGGCTGACGGAGAGCTGAACTTCATCTTGGAAAGACTCGTGTAGATCTCAGGTGAGAGATTGAGCTCATCCCAGGCCGACACATCCACGCTATCTTCGTCCTCGTCTTCCTCGAGAGCTTCGAATGAGAGAGCGCCCTTCATGCTCTGGTCCTTCTTCGGCTTTTGTTGCTTTGGCTTCTGTTCGGGCTTTTTCTTTTCGTTCTGTCCCTTGGGCTTTTGTTCGGCCTTCTGATCCGCATTTTGATCAACCTTCTTATCAGCCTTCTTCTTTTCCTTCTTGGGCTTCTTATCTTCCTTCACTTCGGTAGCATCGGCCGTGGGGGTCTTCTTGGAAGTCTTGTCGGTCGAGTCTTCGTCGCTGAATCCAGCCCACTCATCTTCATCGCCTTCTTCGGGGGCTTTCAGAATTGATTTCCTGGGCTTTCCTGACTTGGCCTAATCAAATAACACCACAGATTAGCGTCCAATGGAATTAAACATAGCTTCGGAATGCATACCTTGAATTGGACCTCACCGCCACCCTGCCCTCTGATGATATCCACGCCGTCAATCTCCTCTAGACCAAAGAATCCAGTTGCATCCTCCATGCGGTCAGGAAGCGCAACCTCCTTCCAGTTGAGGTCCTCAACTCCGACAAACGCATTAGAATCATCTTCCGACGCATCGGCCTTGGTGGACTTCTTGCGCTTTTTCGTCTGGAGCGCCTGGGCTTTAGAGTCGTGTCCTCGTTTTTGGCCCATGATGAATGTAAAAATCTCAGTGGATTGCAGCTTGCACTGTAGACAAGAAACAAAAGCTCGTCGTCACGGAAGATTCGCAAAGAAAAAAAGCGGCAGAAAACTGAGTCCGCCTTGGAATCTTATCTTTTCGTTCCCCACGTCGCAAAATCAACCCACCTCGACTGACTGCCGATTGCGTTCGATTAGCTTGTCAATTCACAATGGGCAAGTCATCCAAGGACAAGCGCGACGCTTACTACCGTCTCGCGAAAGAACAAAATTGGCGCGCCCGCTCCGCCTTCAAGCTTATCCAGATCGACGAGCAATTCGATTTATTCGAGCACGAGAACCCGGACAATGTCACAAGAGTGGTGGATTTGTGCGCTGCACCCGGGAGTTGGAGTCAGGTTCTCAGTCGCGTCTTGATCAAGGGCGAGAGCTTCGGCCGGCGCGCATGGCTCGAGAAGAAACACCAGGCACAGCAAGGATTGGCAGACGAAACAACCAGCGACGATAAAATGGACATCGAGCCTAGCTCAAGCTCCGAATTGAAGCCTCGGAAGAACGTCAAGATTGTCTCAATCGACCTGCAACCTATGGCGCCCCTCGAAGGCATCACAACCCTCAAAGCCGATATCACCCATCCCTCTACAATTCCTCTCCTCTTGCGCGCCCTGGACCCCGAAGCATACGCGCAGGCATCCGATTTACAATCACCCTCCCCGGAGGCTATCAGACAACCCCACCCTGTTGATCTGGTCATCTCCGACGGAGCACCCGACGTAACGGGACTTCACGACCTAGACATTTACATTCAATCACAATTACTATATGCGGCACTCAACCTAGCTATGGGTGTTCTCCGACCAGGCGGTAAATTCGTGGCTAAGATTTTCCGTGGCCGTGATGTGGATCTGCTTTATGCGCAGTTGCGCACTGTGTTTGAGCGTGTTAGCGTCGCCAAACCGCGGAGTAGTCGCGCAAGCAGCTTGGAAGCCTTTGTCGTTTGCGAAGGTTTCATCCCTCCTGTCAGTGATAGCGGGGTGGTCGGTATGGCTGCCTTGAAGAACCCTCTTTTCGGTGGTGCTGCAGCCCCGGTACCTGTGTCCGAAGATGGCAATGTTGCCGTTGAGGTGCGTGAGCAGATTGATGAATCTGCACAGAGACAAACTCCTCTGGCTGGAAGCAACAATTCTACGCCGAATCACGCTACCGAAATCCGTCATCTTCAGACCACGTCTGACGAGAAACAACCTACAAAGCTCTCCAACAAGTTCTCTGTCGAGAACCGATGGATCCCTTCGTTCATTGCGTGTGGTGATCTGTCTGCTTGGGATTCGGATGCATCGTACACGCTGCCGCCGGATTACGTTACCTTAGATCCAGTCCAGCCTCCCACTGCTCCCCCGTATAGACGGGCGTTGGAGTTGAGGAAGGAAATGGGCGGCGCATATGGGAAAACCAAAGTTGGGACTGTGGGCCGGGCTTAATTGTCATGGCTCATTTTAAGACTCATGTATAGACGATAGATGACCTAGACGACATCGCATTTACAAAAGTTATTGAGGAGGCATTGGCGGAGCAGATACCCAAATATATTCAAATGAATACAGTGTCCAGAAACTCCCAGTATGGAATATATATTTAAGAGCACTCTCATTGAGGGATATCTATCAAAGAGTACTGTAGATCTTGAATCCAAAGCGAATACCTAAGCATATTGAAGTGAATACAATGTCCGTATCATTCAGGATGAAATCTATATAAAAGTCCAAAGTGAAGATCGTGAAACGCGCATTTTGAGATGTCTATGATGCGATAGACCAAAGCGATCTAAATATGGGGGGAATAGATGCGAAACATGAAATCATGAGAACATAATTACCAATTCCAAAAGTCTAGTAGACCTCAAGAACGTAGCGCTCCTCATCCTTCAACTTCTCAATCTCCTTGCGAGTGTCGACCTTCTTACCGGTGTTCTTAGCTTCGGTGGCAATGGCCTCCTCAAGAACAGCGGTGACGTCGGGCACGGGCCAGGTGGGACCGCAGAGGTAGAACGCACCCTCCTCGCGGATGTAAGCCTGGATGATCTCGGGCAGAGACTGGCGCATACGGTCCTGGATATAAATCTTCTCAGGCTGGTCACGAGAGAAGGCAGCGCCGAGAAGAGTGATGACACCAGCCTCCTGGTAAGCCTCCCACTCCTCACCGTAGCAGTACTCCTCGCGCTGGTGACGGGAGCCCATGTACAGCAGAACGGAGCCAATCTCCTTGCCTTGCGCCTTCTCGAGAGCGCGGTGCTGGACGAAGGCACGGAAAGGCGCCAGACCAGTACCCAGACCGGCCATGATGATGGGCTGGGTAGACTTAGGGGGCAGCTTCATCACACTGGACTTGACGCTGACGGTGATGGGGGAGCCGGCTCGGAGGCGGCTTAGGTAGCGGGTGGCCAGACCGAAGCGGTCACGGCCGCTGGGATCGGTCCAGTTCACAGCGACGATCATCAGGGCGACGGTGGTCGGGGTAACCTTCTGGCAGGAGGCGATGGAGTACTCGCGGCGCTTCAGGGGGCCGACTATACGGACGATCTCATGGAAGTCGGGATGGGCCGAGGGGTACTCGAGCAGGACATCGGCGAAGGTGATGGTGTCGACCTCGGCGCGGCGCTTGAACTCGGTGGCTCCATCGGGGCCGCCCAGGGTCTGGAGATCCTTCTTTTCCTTCTCGTCGGTGGCGAACTCAGCAAGGGCCTCGTAGAAGCGCTTGGGAGGGCGACCATAGATGTCGACGTTCTGGATCAAGGCCTGGTAGACAGTGCGGTTCTCCAGGACAGCGGGGTCTTCGCGGCTGGGAACCTCGACAACGGCGTCGGGGTCCAGGCCATAGAACTCGATGAACTTGTTGATGTCCGCAGGGTCGTTCTCGGCGTGAACACCAAGAGCCTCACCGATGTCGTACTTCAGGCCAGTGTTGCCGAGGTCAAACTCGATGTGGAAGATATTACGGTCGTAGGTGGTGGGGGTCAAACGACGGTTCTCCTTGACGTGAACGGTGAAGGTCTTAGTTGCCAGATCAGGGCGGAGCGCATCCTTGGTGCCATAGGCCTCCTTGAAGGCCAGGCCACGAGCGGCAGTCTCCCAGTCCTTGAGGAAGGTGGGGGGCTCGGCCTCGGTCTTGTCGAATGAAACAAAGCTGTTGGCGACGATGTCCTTGGGAAGCTGGACAGCCTCGGTAATTCCCTCAGGCTCCTTCCATGTCTCGGGAACCTCGATTTGGCGCAGAACCTTCTCGAGATCCTTGGTCACATTGTCCAGGGCCTCGGCGTTGCCGGTAATGGCGGACAACTTCTTGGTGGCAACACCCTCCTGGGAAGGCAAAGCAACACGCACGAATGAGGCCTGGAGAACAAGAGCGTCCAGAGAGGAGTCGTCAACAACCGACGGGTCGACAATGAAAACGGAGATGGCGCGCTGGGCAACACCCTGCTTGAAGGCGGCCGGCAGCTTCTTCTCAAGATCCTCATCCTTGATACCCGGGGCATTCACGATGACCTTGCCGTTGTCCTTGACTGAGGCCAGAACATCAACTTCCTTGAGCAGAGCGATGCTGCCGACGTAGGAAACATCAGCAGCAGTGACTGCGTAAGGTGCGTCCACAATCTTGGCACTCTTGCGGATATCAATACGGACGGCACCACCCTGAACAAGGTTGTCGTGGACCTTGCTGGTAGTGACATTGCTTGCCGAGTCGGCGCCAAGAGCCTGGCCAAGAGTGTGGGCGGCCTCGCTGGTGACGGAGCTGTCGACGTCCCAGAAAGTGTACTCGTGCACGGAAGAGGGGTCAAGCAACTGCAGAGGAGCAGTCTGGTTTGTCTCACTGTTGACTGGGAGAATAGGCTTGTCGAAGACGCGCTGGAAGGCAGCGGCAGTCGAGACAAGGTCCCAGCGCTGAGAGCGAGGGTACTTAATCTCGACGCAGGTGGGTGCCTGCTCACGGCCAGTGGCAAAGGTCAAGGCGGCAAGGACATCCTCATAGAGAGCGGAGTGAATGCCCTCTTCCTGAACGGCCTGCTCGGAAGCAACCTGTCCGAGAATGCCAACAGTCTTGGTGGACTGGGGGAGGACACGCAGGAACTCCTCCTCAATGAAGGGACGGTAGACTCGGACGTTGACAACACCGACACGGACACCATCCTTGGCCAGGGAGCGAGCAATCTGAGCGGTCAGGGCAGCCTCGACAGTACCAAAGGCAACCAGAACGGAAACAGGCTCGGCGTGACCGTGGTACTCAAAGGCACGGTAGTCAGTTCCGAGTTCGCCGTTCAGGGTCTTGAGGAGATCAAGGACCTTGCCCTGGGAGTCTAGGTGACGGGTGCGAGACTCATCGAGGGTCTTGCGGACAGACTCGTAGGTGCGAGTCAGGCCATCCTTGTCGAGAACGTCAATGACACGGGTAGTCTCACGGCCAACGCGGACACCGTCATAGATGTGAACGGAGGGAAGGATCGAGGAGAGCAAAGTGGTGAAGAGAGCCATGTGCTGGGACTCGTGTGCGGAGCCGCTGGAGACCAGACCAAGACCGAGCTCTTCGGCCAAAGCAAGAGCAGAGGCATAGTCGGAGACGAGACCCTCGCTGGCGTAGTCGACGGCGGCGACATGTGCGGCGACGGGGCTGGCGACGGAGTAGAGCAGAGAGAGTTGCTCCAATGCTGCGCGCATGTAGGGGAGGGTGGCCGAAGAAGCAACAATACCCTGGGGGATGTGGCGCTTCTTCAGATCAAAGTCCTGCGAGAAGAGGTAGCCGAGGGCCATGTTTCCGGCACCCTGGCGAGTTTCGAGAGTCTTGACGGCAGGAGACTCGCCATTGGCATTGGTCTCGTTCTTGGAGGTCCATTCCTTGAGGGCTGCATCCAAGTCGAAGCTCTCCGGTGAGTAGGAGAAGATCTTGTCGCTCAGCAAGTATGCGACTTGCTGGATCAGCGTCTGGGCTGTGACATATGTCGGGCCATTCAAGGCCGACAAAGCTGGAACAGATGCCATGGCTTCTTTTTGTGTATATCGGACTCACACCGATATGAACAAAAAACAAAGAAGAATGTGGAGAGAAAGAGAATCCCCTCTCCCCAAGTATAAAACAGAAACCCCAGTCATTTTGCCTAATGCGGCTAGCCGCAATTGCGTGATCTCGTTATCGGGCGATAAGATTTTTCTGCGGGCGGTGCAAAGTGGCAAATCATTCCCGCTTTCGGAGCAATTACTCAGCCAAGGGCCAGGTCGATTCTGGCCTCAGGCGAAAAACCATGTGAGGATCACATGAGATTTTCGGCCTGAGAAATGCGGCCATAGTAAATCGGCATTAGATAAGCAAATTGTGGAAGGCACGCATCTCTAAAACACCGAGCCTCGGCCACCCTTTACCCCATAATGCGGGGAACCTCCAACTGATATATTCAGCCTTAATTTGATACAAAATTGAAAGAACGTTTACCTGAATCATCTTTCTATACAAATCAGTTTCTAGTTTATTCGAATATGGCGGAAAACTCTCCTAATCCAATCCCTTTCTCGGAGCCACCTTACATTCGTGGCCTCCCTTCACCGTACATTACTCCCGCCCACCGTCGTTTCCAACAAGCATGTCGTAAATTCGCGACAGAGAACCTACTACAACATGCCTTGGAATGGGAGCGTGAGGGAACGGTTCCCGAGCATGTTTTTGGCACATTTTGCAAGCATAACATGCTTTTGCCCAATATGCCTGCCCCCTTGCCGGTGGATTGGCTGAAGCGTCTGGGAATCAATGATATACTGGGGGTCAAGGTTGAGGACTGGGACTACATCTACACTGGAATCTACTGTGATGAGGTATGCCGGGTTGTGTGGGCCTGTTTCAGGGTTTACGGGAACTAACCAAACTGGTATAGATGGCTCGATCTGGTCTCAGTGGCCCTGGTGGTTCTCTCAATGCAGGATTTGCCTTTGGAATTTCACCAATTGTAAAATTTGGTAGCCGTCAGCTGCAAGAGAAGTTCCTGCCCGACTTGCTCACTGGCAAAAAGCGAGGGTGTATTGCTATCACGGAACCTGAGGCTGGTAGCGATGTCGCTAACATTACCACAACTGCCGTCAAGAGTGCCGATGGTCAGCACTACATCGTCAATGGCACCAAAAAATGGTAAGATAAACTAAATACATGTCTCTTCGCGGTCTAACGCTATTTGCAGGATCACCAATGGCATCTGGTCAGACTATACCACAATGGCCGTTCGAACCGGTGGCCCCGGAGCAGCGGGTCTGTCTGTTCTAGTTGTGCCGCTCAAGAACCACCCCGGAGTCACAATGCGCCGGCTTAAGGTCTCTGGCCAGGTGACTGGTGGAACCACCTATATTGAGCTCGACGACGTCAAGGTTCCCGTGTCAAACATCGTCGGTCGAGAAGGTGATGGCATGCGTATCATCATGACCAATTTCAACCATGAGCGTCTCGTGATTGCCATCGGAGCCACTAGACAGGCTCGAGTGGCACTCTCGGCTGCATTTTCCTACTGTCTCAAACGCGAGGCCTTTGGAAAGACGCTAATGGATCAGCCCGTGGTCCGGCATCGTCTCGCCAAGGCAGGTGCTGAGCTTGAAACCATGTGGGCCTGGGTTGAACAAATTCTGTATCAACTGACTCATCTCAGCAAGGAGGAAGGCGATCGTCAACTGGGTGGCTTGACAGCACTGGCAAAGGCCAAGTCTGGCATGGTCTTGAACGAGTGTGCCCAGACAGCTGTTTTGCTCTTTGGTGGCAATGGCTTTACGAAGACTGGACAAGGCGAATTGGTAGAAGGTATGCTCTCATATTCTTTTGGCTGTGACTCTCAGGTGCTAACAAGGTTTCTTCCAGCAATTCTTCGTGACGTCCCCGGTATTCGTATTCCTGGTGGCTCTGAAGATGTTTTGCTCGACCTTTCTGTTCGTCAATTAGTCAAGGTCTACCAAGCAGAGGAAAAGAAGCTCTCCCAGAGCTCGAAGATTTGATATATGTATTACCCTCAGACTAGAAACAATTGCGACTCTATTTATTAATTCAATATACAATTTCGGGACCCGTGTCTGCCGAAAAAGAATACAATTAGTGCGCGATCAGGTGGAGAGGGGATGCCGAATAGCAAGAAATGAGGGTCCTTTAGAATCGCCCTATATAAACACAGTATAGTCCAGTCAACAACAAACATTTCTAATCTAGTTTGTTTTCCATATTTGCGTCACTGAATACTGGATCTGGCCTATTGAGCCTTGGGCTTCACACGAAGTCCAAATCTGTATTCGCGGCTCCTTGCTAGCTCTAGAAATACCAAGACACAATCAAGATATTGAAAGCCGGGATACTGACTGGGCATCCTGCGAGCACTCTCGTTGTAGCAATCACTGTCTGTCTGTGGCTTGTGCAGAAAGTTCTGTTTTCTGGAGTGAATAGAATACTGTGTCACCAGTAATTGGGGGTTCTTGAACTTGGTATGGCTATCCGGGTGGCATTTTACGAATTGCATTACGTGGTTATTTGCTCACTCGGCATTGAATTGACCGTACCGCAAGACTTGCAGCTCCAAAGATAATTACATTTAGTAAACGTCAGTTACTTTTTGACTGGCTGAGTTCTCATTGGTATACTCTTCCTCTTCCTCTTCCTCTTCCTCTTCCTCTTCCTCTTCCTCTTCCTCTTCCTCTTCCTCTTGTCGTGCTTTCCTTTCCTCTTCTTCTCGTGCTTCCCTTGCCTCTTTCTTGGCTTCCTCGGGGATATATGGATCCAACGCTGGGAAGTGTTGAGCAACCAATGGATCGATATCGACCAAGATATCCGTAGGGTGACCAGATTCAACAAATGAGTTGATCATCTCATTTACTTCTTTTCTTTTCAGGTCCCAATCCCGGTTCCATTCCTGGCACCAATAATCCATTGGATTTGATGCGTCAAAGTCATCGTCGGCATACGGAAGGTCGCACCAGTGATCCAAGAGCGCCAATAGGGGGTCAAATCCGTCTTCGCTTTGGCAAAGGACCTTAGCACCCGCGTCAAGCAATTGCTTTACCGTATTTGCATTAGCCATGGTCTCTAGGTCTGGGTCCAGTGCAAGGTGCAGCGGGGTGTTACCCTCGCGGTCTTTCAAAAGAACATCAGCCCCGTGGCTTATAAATAATTTAGTCAAGCGTTCTTTCTCCTCAGGTTCCAATTGTTCAAAATGGCCCTTAGAATCAGGCCTTGATAGCAACAGATGCAACGGGGTCATGTCATCATGATTCAAAATGTTTACATCAGCCCCCAAGTCAAGGAGTAGTTTGGTCATCTCGAACGAATATTGGGATCCAAATAGGTGCACTCCGAGCTCCTCAGGAGATGGTTCGGCTCCGTACTCCAGGAGCAATTCCACCATTTTCTTGCTTCTTTGGTATGGGTTTCGATATTCGGTCTTGAAAGCATAGAATATTGGACTTCGACCCAAGGCGTCCCTCGAATTCACGTCGGCGCCGTGATCCAAAAGCCATTTAATAACGCCATTACCAGGATAATGGTATGATTCTACCGCTTCATGAAGAGGTGACCACAAGGTGGTCGGATCATTCAGAATGGCACCATGGTCAAGGATCACACGCACAGTCCTTTCAGGGTCAATGTATTCACCTTGCAATCGACGTTTAGCTCCCGCGCGTTCTCCGCATACCCAAGTATAGCGGCCTCCGCTTGTTATAGCACGGTATAAGATGCTCTGATCCATCTTGGCGCCATGTGAGAGAAGCCGTTCGACCGACATATAAGCACATCGTTCTGCAGCGATTTCCAAGGGGGTGAGCTTCTCAATGGTGTGGTCAGATATTCCATTCCCGTAGTTGGGGTCGGCTCCATTTTTCAGCAGGAATAACACTGTCTTTGCATTGTTGTTTTCAACTGCTTTGACCAAAGCCGAAGTGGGCTTCCATTTGTTGGAGAAGTCATCCCAGAACCTCAAAGGTCGGTTGAAGTCTGGCTTCCAATGCGCGAGTTTATACAATGCGCTCATACATCCAGTGGTTGCGCACCAGTCCAAGGCCGTGTTCGTCGGATCTGTCTCTAGATTCCGTTTGTACAAATCACGCATAAGAAGGCTGCAGAGCTGAGAGTTTGTGCATATCAAGTTTAGAAAATCACGATCAGATGGTAACTCCCACGCAATTATGCGTATAACCTCCAGCGGCAAGGATTGGAAAGGCATTTTGGACTTGCGGTGTGTGAAGTGACAAGCGCGTTCGATTTGATGCATGTATCAACAGATGTTCACGCTTACCTGTTTAGGCTTAGTGTCCCGATGATGAAAGAGCGCGCGTCGCACCTCTCGTCCGCAACATTTACAACTCCTACACTGTACAAACTTCTTCGCGAAAAAATGGCAAATGTGGCACTGATCGGTTGTACGGGAATGGTGGTAAGTCAGGAATTTTTGCAGCATTCTCGTCCCTGACCATGAAGTTATCCATAAAACCCTCCATCCAAATAGACCTAAATCGGATAATCCACAGGGTTCCCATATCCTCACCAGCCTGATCACCAATCCCTCCGTAACACGCGTGGACACCATCTCCCGCCGAACCCCGCAAGCCGCTTCTAATGCGCCGCATGCCAAACTCACCACCTTCATCTCCGGCGACACCGCAACCTGGGCTAACCAGCTCTCCACCCTCACCCCGACTCCGGATATCTTCATTTCCTCTTTCGGAACCACCAAAGCAGCTGCAGGTGGATTTGAGAACCAGTACAAGATCGAGCATGGTTTGAATGTCGAACTAGCCAAGGCCGCGCGAGAGGCTGGTACCAAGGTCTACGTTTTGGTCTCATCCAGTGGCGCCAGCAAGGACTCCAATATCGCCTACTCCCGTATGAAGGGTGAGATTGAGGAGGATGTTAAGGCGCTTGGCTTTGAGCGTACGGTAATCCTGCGCCCTGGTCTGATTGCTGGTACCCGCGAAGAAAGTCGTCCTCTCGAGGCTGGCATTCGGTTTGTTGCTAGCTGGGCTGGTAAGCTGCATTCTGGATTGAAGGATGGCTGGGCCCAGGAGTCCGATGTTATTGGTAAGGCTGCTGTTAATGCTGGCCTTAAGGCACTCGAGGGTGATGTTCCTGCTGGCAGCGAGAAGGTCTGGATCTTGGCTGGCAGTGATATTATCAAGTACGGCAAGGATGGTTCGTCTTGAATGGCTCCGTCTTACTGAACGAGAAATGTCTATAAATAATGTTTATGTTTCGAGCACACATGATATTACGTTGTCATTGCATTGATTACTTGGATATGTACATTGGACGCAAATTGCAATGAGAAAACTCAATTAGATATCGTTCCTCTGCTCAAGCTCACGGTGCAACTTCACCCATCTGAAAAGCTAACCATCTCCAGCGAATCCTTCCACAGTCTAGCCTCATCCTCGGGGCTGTAGATGTGGCTCACATAGACCTCGTTACTGGAATCGTTGTCATCGGTGGCGCGCTTCGCCTCAGCACAATCAGAGGAGAAGGATTCGTGGTGAGGTGCCTATACAGTTGCTTGCTAGCCACTGAGACTGCCGTCATGGGGTGTATATATAGTTATTTATAGGGGACTGAAAGTAAATGCAATAGTTTCCGAATCTAGTGTCTGGTTTCCTTCTATCTGTTGTCCTCTACGCTGTCAATCTATCGCATGGCATTTTTTATCGTAAGTATTCCAAAATAAAGTGATCTGACAACGAACTTTGGAGTATGCAAGAAGGACGTAGATGAAAATATAGTAAGCCAAATGTCGGATATCATTGTGCAAAAGCGTAAAGATGTAAAAATATTCATAATTTTAGCCCAGCTAAGTAATCTCCATAGTTGGGGGTTTTTATGTGGATTGATTCATTTTCCGTAACAAAGACAACATGAGCGGACAGTAAAATTCGAGACGAAAAATAAGCACCATCGACGGATGGATAGATAGATCAGTGATTGATTGTTGGAAGGAAAACAAAATAAAAAAAGAATTGCAAGCGATGGGATTCGAACCCATGCAACTTTCGTTACCAGGATTTCCGTTGACGGATATCAAGTGTGGATGCTTGAATCTGGCGCCTTAACCAACTCGGCCACACTTGCAAGTGTGATGTAAACGTTCTCACATTTTGAGGTCTTATTCCACGCAAGCATTTGCCCATTATATCCCACCATGCATCCAAAGTCTATCATTCTCATGTCATTCTCCAGTGGAGGGTAGATCACCACAAGTTATAGTCCAAATCCAGGCTTGATTTCCTGTATCACATGAATTATAATACAAAAACTCAGTCCTTATAAGAAACGTGAGTCCCGTCCTCCTTGACATGAACGCTCCTGTTCTTTTTGGGAGTCCTCCGAGCACTAGACTCGCGGTCCTGGTTGCGCGCTGGGCCACCTTCAGTTGGGTGTCTCCAAGCACTGACATCCTTATTGGCCGCACTCACGTCTAGAGGGCTGTCCGACTCGCCTTCCTTCCTGCTCTCCTCCGCTGTAGCTGCAAGTTCGCTCTCCGGTGCTGTGTTGGACGGATCGAATGCGGCTGGGTGCTCGGCGACTTCGGCATCCGTGCCTGACTTGGTGGTTTCTGAACGCTCTGGGCTCAGTGATTCGCGATCTTGAAGGCCTTGGTATTTTGACTTTTGGGGGCGGGGAGTCGTGCTGAAGGGGGCTTTGGCTGCTGTTGGTGTGACGAGGGCTGGGACGGTTGTTGAGAATTGGGAGCGGGTTGCTCGGGAGGCTTGTTGACTGATTGAAATGACGGATTTCCACATTTTGGATGGTTTAGATGCAGATAGGTGAGGGGTTGAGCTGCTGTTTAGGGTGGTTGAGGTATTATAGACGGTGGGCTCTATACTGAGGTGGAATGGATGTAATGGGCAACAATTGATTCGAGAGATATTCTACCGAGGAAAGCCCAGTGCAAGTTGAACATTTAAAGCTGGCATTATTCTTGTTCTTCCCAGTTCTTTGGACCTTGTGGTCATGTTGACGTCATCTACGAATTGTGGTGCTAGCCTAATCCGGTAATAAGCTTGCCCTAAGTCAACTCACTTATGGTACATTAAAGTACATCAAAAGACGTGCCTCTTTTAGAGAGACCTAAGACTTTGGGTGATTTTGTTGCTCGGTATATCTTTTCTCACAGAATAAGCAAAATGGGATGAAAGAAGAGATGAAAAGAGGAACAAAAGCACAGCCGAACTAGCGAAGTAGTCTGGCGAGGGAAAATTGCTTTATCATGTCCGTTTGAGGGGGCCATTTAAATATTCAATTCCGGCTAGCTCTGGTTCAGCAATATATCATTACGTTAAATGGTGTTCAACGGCGCTTTCGAACGTGGGCTTGCTCCTCGCTCGGTGGTCTTGGGCAGCGATGACAGGCCGTGGCTAGATTAGAGTTCAATTTGCTTTAGCCATACCCTGGCAAAGACCGTACAGCGGTCTATGGGGACTGTGTACTCGCCTAACTGTTACGGAGTGAGAGCGTGGGTGGTGGCAAGGTCTGTCTGTATCAGTGCGTGATTCTCGGGATACGAGAAAATACAATGAAAAAAACGATAAAATAGTAATCGGAACGCCCTTAGATCGGGGCTACTGTGTACACGACATATGCCACAAGTGGAGTAGAAGATCATCATACCCAGACACGGTGGAACGAACTGCGCCTGGCACTATGCGAATGCGAGGGCCCGCGTCGAGAGAGTCACGATCTACCAATAAGCAGAAGGCCTCGGCCTCGCTGAACGCAAGTGCTGTGAGATGCACAGCGTGCCCCTAGTACAGGACGGGTGGGGAAATGTCTCGTTAGTTGCATATGACCGGCATCCCAGACAGCACCTGTCATTGGACAATGTGCCCGGCTGCGAGTCAGGATAAGCCCATGGCCAGACCAATCCCCGTGCGCTGACGGAAAATGCAGGCGGTGGCATTTTCCCTCTCGAGCCCCAAAGGTAGGGTTACCAGTATCCATTTGTCGCCCGTCAAAAGCAGGGCGTGTGGAGGGTGCGGGAGCCTCCGTTCGCTTTGAGATCACGGGATCACAGGAGCCCGGCGCAGTGGGAGCCTGTATGCGGGCCCTGGAATTCAATTCCAACGTTGTAGCACGGAGGCTCAAGGTTCAAGGTACGTAAATTTGGCCTACAACGGCCTAACCCGGTCAAAATTGCTCTGCTAATTCACCCGGCAACTTCGCTTGTTGGGCAGAAATCAAAAAACCATGCTTTTGTCCACATACTCGGCCTGACCCTTGCCAGAACGAAAGACTGGTACACTAACGATGTATGAGGAACTTTCGGTGGTAAGACGGAACGAGAGGCAAAAAGGCAGGGGGGGTTCAGAAGTTGATTCGAGAATTTTTCTGGGCTGGATGCACCCAAGTCGCCGCAGCAAAGGATTGATCCACCGAGTATGACAGGCCTTTTGCGGCGGTTCGCCATCATTCAGGGATGTCAGTTGCCAACTCAACATGCCTGTCATGGATCACCTTCCTAGGGTATCCCCTTGGTACAAGTGTTTGGGCGTAATCTCGCTAGCAGTCACCGACGATCGCGTGCCGTGTTGATGGAAATTCCCCAAAAGGAAGTCCCACCTCCCCGGGGAGATTGCGGTAATGCGGAAAGGCGGCAACGCAGAGAAATCTGCAGGATCTTCCATCATATCCCGAAAACCGGTCATCTTCCGTCATAGTCAATGATGAGAATAGCAATCTGGAACCACCGAGTGGAGGCTTTCATCGAATCCCCAAACGGCGACCCACAGTCTAGCAGCCAGCCCTCCCTACCAAGAATCTGCAAATTGAACCAGAAGCAACGTGCCACGTCAGAGTCTCCGAGCTTTGGTGCAGCTGCATGTGGTTCAGCAATATGTGGAAGGTGTCACGGTTCGTGTCTGCGGCGAGCGCCGTACAGCAATCCGGTCCTATCATTTCCACTCAAAGAAGCAAGTGGATGATGATGAACACACACATGAGCGGGGCAAATGCCGGATCCCTCTTTGCAGGCGTGAGAGATCAGCTGAACGACAATGGATCTATTTGGCCTGCATCCCTGGTTTTCGGGACGAGCACAAGTAAAATTCAATTCAATGGCCCGTGTCCCGAACCAGGGTGCCAATGATAGAGCCTCAACGAGGCAGGCATTGCCACTCAGGTCGGAACTATTGGCTGATAGTCACTGAGCGGGAAGGTGCGGCAGGCGTGGAACAAGAACCAAGTTTGATTTCGATATCCCTGGGAGTAAGGCTCGGCAGGAATAACGCAAGACGACTGGGGAATGATGGTTGCAACCACATGCTGAGACCCAAGGCCGATGTCCATATTGGCCCAAATGCAGGAAGCGTCAGAGCCATGAGGAGCAACGGCAGGCCATAAGTCGGGATGTGCATGCATATGCAATCACACAGACGGTAATATCGGATAGACACTCCTGTGGATATAACATGGCGTTCGGTCAGAATCCCGTGTCAAAGCTCATGATAATTGGCATGTTGAGCCAATCAATAATTTCAGCCGTCGAAAAAATGCTTCAAGATAGAACATCCCATAGTGGTGGAGTCACAGGGGTGTGCAGAGACCCATCACATTCGGGAAGGCAGTAGCGTTTCTCTTGCATGAGGACATAGTCATCTCTGGAAGCGAAAGCCTGATCATTGCATCAGTACGACATCTGGCAAGTGACGAGACCAAATCGGCCATGCAAGAGCAGCAATGTAAAACGCAATAGCATCACAGGAGTGTGTGTCCATGCGAACAGCCTGCACATGAAAGCGGGGAGACGTAGCTGGCGACAGCATGGTTGCAGTAGTCGAATCTGGAAACTGGAGGATTGACAGCCATGCGTTGAGGGATTTTTCACCCATTGACCATCCGCAGTAAGAGAAAATCGCCACGGCTAAAGGTTGCATGCATTCTTGAAGCAACCGGTTGTCCATGGTGGCTCCATTCGATATACTATGGTCATCATACCGTCTCCACAACGCGGAGAACTGCTCACAGCCAACCGGATCCACAGTCAGGCAGGTTGTGTGGATTTCCATGGACTGGAACCCACGGATGATAAGCCATCGGGCACTGGTAACCGTCGATCAATAGCGCGACGACACAAACATTGGAGATGATCGGGACTGTGGCATAAGAGACTCTCATACGAAACATAAATAGGCCAGTCAAGTCCCCAAGGATACCCTCAAATTCTCAATCATCTCTTCAGTTTCATAAATCAAGTCTGAATTCTGCAAGCCAGACCAATAGATATTCCTCACAAGAAAGCTTCGATTCAATTTTTGTTTCAACTTCTTCGAGGTTTCCTAGACCCTTCAGGAAACCAGGCAAAGGTCAACCTATCAAATTGGTCAAGTGTGCCGCAAAGTCAGGTGCAACCAATAGCGAACCGATATTCAAGCTGAAACAAAAACGGGGAATCGTGAGCAAGTGAGTTGTGCGGCACCTGCAGATTGAGCAACACTAACAGATCTGATAGGCATGTGCTTCTACAATCAAAAGAGATTTGCCTGCGGAGACTGGAGCTGGACCAGCTTTGCTCACCGATGCAACTATGAGTACCGCACTGGCGAAACGTGCGGTATGAGACTTGTCAACATGACCGAAAATGAGAAGAGTAACTGCCGGCTCTGCGAGAAAATCGAGACCAAATATCGACGACGAAGCGCCGAGGTCGAACGTTTAGACCGGTGGAAACGAGAGGGTGCCACCCTGGTAGCCTCGATGGATCGGTCTCACAAAATGATCATGGACCTAGAGAAAGAGATCCGCACCCTGCAACGGGAACGGGATGACCGAAGGAGCACTCTGCTCAGATAGGATTGGCTTGGGGGCGCATAGCCAGTGGTGTCCCTTTCATTCTTTTTATTTTTCTCTTTCTTTTGGACAGGCGAATAGCGGCCTGTATTCATTAGTTTCGGAACTTTTGTCTCCAATTTTCATGTCGTTTGCCTTTGCCTGTAACCATTTCCTTGGGTGGAGTTGCAGCGTGTTTCATGTTTCATCATTTTTGTTTGTGACATCAAGTCCCAATCGAGTTTCTGCAAGGTGATGTGAGAACCACATCGCTCACGAAAAGATTGACGAGAAATATAATTGGTTCGGTTTCCATATTGCTTTCGGTTCATAGGCTGTCAAGCTCCCAAGTAATGTCAATAGCGACTAGTCATGCCATAAGCGCCGTCTTTTCCCTGGGTGAGCGGTTCGCTGAGACATATCGAGACGGGTCGAGTCTCACAGGGTGAAGAGTAGCACCTGCTGCAGCCAGACAGGAAAGCCATTGACTTTTGTTAAATCAAATGAGGACCATTCAAAGCCGACAGGAGCCAGAATGATGCAATTGTGTAAGAGGGACACATATACAGCGTGAAACGGAATGCCCCTCATCTCATCCCCGCACGTGATAGCATGCGGTGTGCTTATATAATTATCTTGGGGAATCATACCTGCCACAAAAGCTGCCCAAGTGTAAACTCTGAAAGATTTGGAGATGTCGGAAGAAGGTGGCAATGGTTGTCTTGCCGGAAAGACGGGGCGAGGTTGTTGGTTGCAAGCGGGAATATGTAGTCGCTCGCAGGGTTCCACTTCCTTCATAAGAACTTGTGAGCTTCAATAAATGAGTTGATCGGAGTCTTTGAAGATAACATGATAGCAATATCGTCTCCTTTTGTTTACTGCGAAAATAGTGGGCTTTTTCTGACGAAAAATGGGGGCGGGGAGACATATGGTACTAGTTGGGCTCGGAGGATTTATTTGTGAAGACTAGGGAACCTGCAGACCTTCAGGCGCATCCACATCTATTCAGACTAGCAAACATCGTCAAATTGGGAGGCAGAATTGAACAGACAGCCCTGGAGACTGGGCCGTTGTGCATGCCACGTCACGAGCGAACAACACCAGATGCAGCATAAGCAAGACCAGATTGAGGTATTGTTTGGACAAGACCATTCAAAATTGAAAACTTGATGATTGTAGTCAAAAGTATTGGATTCGAGTATCTGAAACGGAAAAGAGCATGAGGGTTTAATCTATTTTATGTCGCCAGCCTCGGGCTCATCATCGACCTTGGCCAACCCTTGTTCCCGCAGAAGAGCATCGATCTCGTCCGCAGTCCATAGGTGATGGTAGATCTTGCCATCCTTGGTCTTGCCCACCGTTGCGAACTCGACTGGCAAACAGGTTAGAATGAAGTCAGGCGGTAAATGGTACACAAGAAAGATATTTTATTAACTCACTCTTCTCACTGCTCAGCTTCGTCGAGTCCATAGTCTTGCTAAGCACCTTGACAGCCATAGCACAGGCCTCCTTCAGATCGCAATCCTCCTTGTAATCTTGCTTAAGGAGACTCTGTGCGCTTGCATTGTTTGCACCAACACTCGTTGCCTTCCAGCCTCCGTAGTTTCCACTGGGGTTGCTCTGGTACAGCTGGAACTGGCGAAGGTGGTCGTATCCAGCGTAGATGAAGGAGACACCGAACGGACGGAGACCACCATGTTGGGTATATCCTTGCTTCAGATCGCACAGTCGGCGGACAAGCTGTTCACAGGGAATATCTTCGTTGTACGTAAGGAGATAGCGTTGGGCGTTCTGACGAGCGTAGTTGATCAGGATGTTGGCATCTGCGTTCATACCGGCAACGGCGCAAATCATGTTACTGGAAATGGTTAGCTTCCATTCATATTCAAGCAATCATAGGCCCAAGATGGACCAGAAGTGACGGCGCTGTACTCGTTGATTGTGTAGAGCTTCTCAGCGGAGGTATCCTGCTCCAGCAGCTTGCTGGTCACCTTCCTCTCAGCAGCGAGGACAATTCCATCCTTGGCTAGGATACCAAGGGCTGTACCGGCGTGAGAGATAGCCTCAAGCGCATATTCGACTTGGTAAAGTCGACCCTCTGGGGAAAAGATGGTGGTCTTTCCAGCAGCGTCATAGGTTAGCCGGAGCTGCACAAATGGAATGACGGTGTGAACAAACCCGGGAATCGTATCTCCGAGACATCGTGAATGGGGAATAGGAAGCAACAAAAACTGGAAAGGGAAAAGACTAAGGGTGGGGGACGATCGAGATGATGGAGGTTGGTGGTGAAGACCGTAGAAGCTCCAGGCAACTCGCCCTGGCGCGTCCTCTGTCATCCAAGCTCGGACCACTTCACCGCACCAAAGCTTCGTTGTGACGATTTCACCACTTTGACCTGCAACGACTGAGGGAATTTGCGCTGTGGCTCTTTTCTCAATTAATCCATTGGAATCGCCATGCTTAAGTCAACATACACCGCTCCTCCACCTTTGCCCCCAGGGTGGACAGAGCATCGAGCTCCCACAGGTGAGTTTTGCGCTGGAGGCATCTTGAAAAGTTTGAACATGCCTAACAGCCAGACTAGGCCATTTGTACTACTATAACTCCTCTACCAAGCAATCGACATATACCAGGCCTCAAGCTGCCCCCGAGCCTACACCCCCTGCGCCCGACTTTCCACAACCAACCTATGACCCTGAGACGCTACCTGCATTCTCTTCAACGCCCTATGGACCTGCAGGGTTTGGCCCAGGGTCAGCGCAGTTTGACCAACGGCAAGACTTCCGTGGCCGCGGAGGGTTCCGCGGCGGCAGAGGCTATCATGACCATCGCCGGAGAGAACCCGAAGATCGACCAAAGAAGAAACACGCCATACCCGACTGCGCGCCGTGGTTACTAGTTAAGACCAAGCTTGGGCGGCGATTTGTATACAATCCCGAAACGAATGAAAGCTTTTGGAAATTTCCCCAGGAGGTCTTAAAGGGCGTGGTTGAATTCGATCGCCTCGAGCGTGAGAAGAAGGAAAAGGAAGAACGTGGCGAGGAGCCCGGGGAACCAGCCAAAGAGACACTGCCTTCAAAACAAGACGACCCCGCAGAACCCCAAGAAGCCACAGGAGAAGCCCAAGGCGCAGATGACGATGATGAATACGAAGAGGTTGAGGTCACAGACAGCGAAGGAGAAGATGGCCAGCCATCCAAGCGCCCACGAACTGAAAGCGAGGGCGCCCAGGACCAACCTTTAGAGTTTACGGAGGAAGATATGGAATACCAACTCGCCGCCATGGGTGAAGAATATGGGCTTGATCCCGGGGAATACGGCGAGGCCGGGGAAGAAGAATGGGAAGAGGGCGCAGAAGGCCTACCGCTCACTGAGGCCGATGCCGAAGCCCTCTTCCGTGACTTGCTCGATGACTTCCAAATAAACCCGTTCACGACATGGGAAAATGTCATTGAAGAAGGACTTATCATTGAGGATCCCCGGTACACAGCACCCTCAAATATGAAGGCACGACGAGAAATATTCTCCAATTGGACCAGGGACCGTATCCAGTACGTCAGGGACCAAAAGGCGAAGCAGGAAAAGTCAGACCCGCGCATTAAATACCTAGCATTGCTGCAAGAACATGCGACCCCCAAGCTTTACTGGCCCGAGTTCAAGCGCAAGTATAGGAAAGAGCCGGAGATGAAGGACTCTCAGCTTTCGGATAAAGAGCGCGAGAAGTTCTATAGGGACTACATTTCGCGTCTGAAGCAACCGGAAAGCACACGGAAATCTGATCTGTCAGCCTTGCTCAAATCGGTTCCCTTGCACGCGTTGAATCGGTCTTCGAATGTGGATGCTCTACCAACCGTTATCATCACCGATATTCGCTATATTGGGCTCGCACCCAAGGTGCGCAATCCATTAATCGAGGCGTACATATCTACCCTGCCTCCAGCGCCAGAGGTGCAAATGACGGCGGAGGAACAAGCAGAACTTGACCGGAAGCGAAACGAGCGGGAGAAGCGTGAAAAGGCCTTGGCCAATCGAGAGAAGCGAGTGGAGGAAGAGAAACGGAGACAGCGTGGAGATCTCATCCGTGGCAAGCATCTTCTGCGCGAAGGCGAGGCCGAGATCGAAGAGGCAATGAAAGTCAACAAGGACGGACTACGAAGCTACATGGACATTGACCAGGTGGAAGGCGAGGAACAAAAGCCGAGTCAATAGATGCTATTAGACACATAACTTTTGGAAATCAGCACAGGCAAAGTCTATCATACAAGTCAACGGCAATTTTGCACGGCGCCAATGCCATTCAATTTCTGAGGGTATCATTGTAGACCAGGGCAGCAATCTCCCCTTCGCGTAGACCAATCGTAATTTCAATTTCACCATAAAGGCAATCATTTCAATCGCCAGTCATCCCAATCCTCATCGTCATCGTCGTCATCGTCGTTCTCGCTTTCGGCAGAGTCCTGCTCCGCCGATGTAGACCCCATTGCTTCATCCCGTGCCTGATCTTCGGCGCGTTTTTTGCGCAGCTCCTCGCGCTTTTGCTTGAGTTTCCGTACCCGCTCCTCAAGCTGATCCATCTCATCGAACTCCTCTTCCATAAACCGCGCGGCATCCTCGCGCTCGCCTTCCAGCTCCGCATCTCGGCTTTTGGTGGCAGCAGCCTTCTCTCGTGCTTGCTGCGCAGCAAGTTCTTCGGCGGTGATTGGCGCGGCTGATATCGTAGCCTCCGCGGAGAGAGCGGCCGGTGCCTGTGGTACACGAGATGGTGCGGCGACCTCCCGTTCAAATGCCGCCCATTCATCTTCGTCAACAGCCATAGGCTGGGGTTGTGATGGCGCCGTAGCTATCGTTTCTTGTGCATCTTGTGTTGGCTCGACAATCTCGTCAGGCCCGTCAACTGGAGGCACTGGGCCCGCGACGTCTTCGACTTGCTCTGCACCTTCATCTTCGGTGGTTTGCTCTGTGCTTGGTGCGCCAGAGGTCGACTGAATAGAATCAAGATCGGCCGCGCGGAGCTTCTTTCGCATCACAGCATCTCCACTGTCAACTTTGCGCTTCTTGGTGACCCGATTCCCTGTCGTATTTGGTTGGGATGTGCCCTTGCGTGAAGCTAGCTCACTCCGAAGAAGGGATCGCACGTCGGTCATATTATCTGGGATGTGCAGCAACAGTTGGTAAAAGGGGAGTTGTAAGGGTAGCTAAGGAGTGGATGGAAGGGTTGAAATCCGAACTAGCCTCGGCTTGAATAATAAAAGAGCCTATGATCAAGTGGGGAATCTGGAGAAGCTTCAAGATTCGAAGCCGCGAACCTGTGGCTGGTGATATCACATGACGATGACTAATCTCGGGAGGCAAAGCCACTTGATCTCTCACCTAACGGCTTCACTTCTCTCCTTCCTCCACTCTTCCCTTTGCATCACTGCGTCTGCCATCAGAGTTTACAAAGTCAGCACCACTAGTTTCAACGACAAGCTCACTTCACAGTCTTCACTGCAGAGTGCGCGATTGAGGTTTGAACACCTTCACGCGACCCCGCCCAGCCCCAAGTGACGATTTGACGCGCAGCAAGGGATTGAACAGTCCAGCACGACACCCACTTCGGCGCGTTCTTCACCCCCGCGCGTCCATTTCACAAAATATTGCGCCTGTTCTGGATCACATTTCTTGATCAAGTAATACTTTGGGCACACTATTCATCGTCTTCTTGTTGTATTACTTTAGCGCCTTGAGCCTGTAGAGACTGTGGTCAGCCCTGGGTAGCAAACCTGCACCCAGATTGTGAACAACTGAAGAGACATTTATCCTGCTAGCGCTGTAGTACGCGCTCAATTCACCATTTATCATCATGGCTGGTAAGCTTTCGTACTCCACTGTGGACAATGCAGTCGGACCACCTTCGGGTGGTAACGCCACCCCAAGCTGTGTCGCAAACCATTTATTTGACCAGACGCTAATAGCAAGATCAGATGAACCACGACGCTCCGGTCGCGCCACCAAGGGCCAGCACAAGAACCTCGAGTTACCTCCCGATGCCCCCGGCAAGAAAGGAAAAAGCAAGAGCCCCAAGGAGAGGAGCGCGAAATTGTCTGCCGAGCCTACCCCTGGTCCTAGCGAGGGAGAAGGAGAAGAGGAGGAGATAATCCGATGCATCTGTGGGGAATATGAAGAGGAGGAAGATGTCGAGCGTGACATGATCTGCTGCGATCAGTGCTCGGCATGGCAACATAACGACTGCATGGGTTTGACATTCGGGAAGGGGCAAGAACCAGATCAGTACTACTGTGAACAATGTCGGCCGGAGAACCACAAGAGCTTGCTCGCCAAGATTGCTGCTGGCGAGAAGCCTTGGGAACAGGTCGCTGAGAAACGTCGCCAGGAAGCCGAGGAGAAGAAGTCCAAGCGAAAGAAGGGCAAGAAGGGAGCAGCCCGCAAAGGAAGATTGAGTGAGAGCAGGACAGATGCAGGCACACCAGTCCGTACCGCAACCTCTACTACGCCTGGTCCCCATGAATCTCCTGCACCCGCCGTGTCTGCGTCAGTCGAGCCAGAGAAGAATGGCCACGCCGATTCTCGGCGGTCGAGTACGCACAAGCGCAAGCTCGAGGAGAGTGCCGAGGCAGAGAGTGTAAGTTCTTGCATCCTATACAAGTTTCTCGCTGGACATGCTAACCTTTTATTCCAGGGTCCACAGGTGAAGCAGCAAAGGGTATCACCCCAGTCCACCACAGCAGGTGTCCCAACGTCGACTAAACCCCAAGTCAAACCAGACCCTACTCCTGAGGCACCCGTTGTTGAAAATCTGCAGGACCTCATGCCTGCTCGCAAGAGTGTGGCTGCAGCCCTCATCAAGCTATTTGTAGAGCAGATTACTGCGGCCCAAAAGGCCAAAACCTTTACCTTGAGTGCTGGACAGTCGGCAGAGGACGTTGCACGGTCACTCGGTTTATCCATTGAGGATGCCATGTACGAGAATATCTGCGGACGTTCGGGCGAGCCGAGTGAACCATATAAGTCGCAATTGCGGTCGATCATGTTCAACGTAAAGAAGAATGCTTCTCTACGAGATCGTTTGCTCGTAGGTAGTCTCTCCCCCAAGGTGTTGTCTCAAATGACGTCGGGGGAGATGGCCAGCGAAGAGTTGCAGCAGAAAGACGCCGAGATCAAGCGGGAAGCGGAACGTCAGCACATCATTGTCCAAGAGCAAGGCCCCCGGATCCGTCGCACACACAAGGGAGAAGAGTTGATCGAAGACGAGAACCACGCCGCCAACGACTCTGTATTCTCCGCTGGACCTCGTCGTGTCACTGGCGATCGGAATGGCAGCCCAACTGCCACCAGCCCGACGAGTCCAAAAGGACAGCGACCCAAGACGGATGGTCCTCATCGAGGCGTCTCACCCGAAGGTGCTCACCACGACCATGTCTTCCCCGAAGTTGCCGCGAATATTCACGAGTCAGTTCCCCGGGGCAGAGTTCAAGCAGACGCCGAGATCGACCAACTTTTGCGAGACGACGAACCCGATTCTCCTCCTTATTCACCAAAGGACTTCGATGACGACGGCACCGTGTGGCGTGGAAAGGTCACCATGTTCCCTATCGGAGAGTTCTCGTCATCTGCAAAGCATGTGGGAGGCGCCGACTTGAGTGGCCGCATCCCATGGAGTCAACTTTCGCCACCCACATTGTTTGTTGACGGACGTATCGACATCAAACGCGCCACAGACTACCTCTGCGGTCTGCAATTTAGCAAGTCAACCGATGTCTCGGTGATTGCAGTCACCCGCCCTAGCCAATCGGAGGACCGCGCTGGTTTCGACAAGATCTTTGACTACTTCCACAGTCGCCAACGCTACGGTGTAATTGGAAAGCATCCGTTGTCTGCCGTCAAAGATACCTACATTGTCCCCATGGAAGTTGGCACCACCAAGATGCCGGAGTTCATTGAACTTCTCGAAAATATCTCCCTGGAGGCGCCCATCACTGAGCGCATGCTTCTCACCATATTTGTCGTCAAGACTGGGGAATCAAACCCCCCCTCCGTGCAGCCTTCCTCCCACCAAGCCAGTCAGGAGCCACCTGTGTCCGCGAGCCCTCTCACAGCCGCAGCGGGAACTCCCCAGCAGCCGCAATTCAGCGCTGGAATCGCACAAACCCCTCCCCATTTCGCTGGATATAACTCGAACAACGCAGCTTTCAGCCAGCAAAACCCCGCACAAGCAGGACAGATCCCGACTCAGCAGCCCTCCTCGCTGACCGGCCTGCCCGCCGCGGTGCAAGTGCTAGGCTCCCAAGCTGATGCCCCTGCCATTCAACAATTGTTGAAGACCGCACCAAACGTGGAAATTGCACAGCTCAATGTCGTTCGCGACATCCTGGCTCGCCAACCCGCTGCCGCAGCATCCTATGACGCCCTCATGCAAGCTCTTTTCGAGACCCAAGCGAATGGCGGCCAAGTGCCCCAGTAGGGTCCTCAATAGAGTTATGCTTACGATAGTCACACATTTGTCCTGTACAGTTTACTTCATGTTCGAGTTTTCTTCATTCGTTTGCAAGACTGCACAATCGTAGTCTGGTGTTCGGGGCTCAAGTCTGGGAAAAGGGGTCTTTATGGACGTGGAATACCCACCACCGAATGTTTTTCGACTTTCATGTCTTCTGGTTCTATCTCAAAATGAATCCGAGTTTACCGTAGTCTTTGATGTTGTTTAGTTTTTTAGGCCCTACATTATCATTTCCCTCAGGTTTCAGCTAAAAGGAATTCATGTTTAACTACATCTATCTTAATCACCCAAGTATGTAATTGATGTGTTCAGATTGGGCATGTAGCTTCCACTTAATCTGACCGTAGAACTGGAGAGGAAAGGAGATCTTCTCTGCTGTAATACAAGGTTCGTTGATTTAGGACTGGTAAAATAGGTCCACGGCCAAGTACAAAAAGAAAAAAAAAATCTGGATATTGAGCATATTGTCTTGTGACCCTCCTAATCGCCATCCGAACATCGTCCACGAAATCAAATAAAACGCCTGCGCTATGCAAAAGGACCGAGCCCAAGGCCTGGAGGACAAATCAGGGACGTGGATCAATATCTTCCATGACCACCACCACCACCGCGTCGCCTGAAACCACCACCGCCGCCCCCTCCATAGCGAGGACCACGGCCGGCGTTGGGGCGACCACCAGAGGTATAAGGGTTATCATCTTCTTCTTGGTGGCGCACAGGCGGGGCGCGTCCCTTGAGCTCCATGCTGAGCTTCTTGCAGTTCTTGCGCATATCGGAGTATCCCATGTGCATCTTTCCAAAGAAGTGATCTGCCAGACGGCGGTCGTTGTCGAGACGAGACAAGTAAGCGCCGCAAACGTCGCAGACTTGAAGCTTTTGGTGGCCTGACGGACCAGACGTATCTTGGAGGTTCTTGAGATCGCGTTCAAGGGTTTCCTTCTGGAACTTTGCTGTGCGAACTTTGTGCATTTCACTGAGGGCCATTGAGACGGAGCCAGTCTCGCCTAGGACGGAGACTTCGAGAAGGCCGGAGTTGATGGTGTTGGAGAGATCGGCGATTTGTTTGAGCTGTGATAAGTCAGTAAAATCTAAACCACCCCGAGAGATTCTGGAGAATGAGGTAAGGGCGCAACGCACCAAGGTATTGGTTTGCCGAATCTCATCCGGAGTCTTTTCGAGTCTGCGCTGTGCACTGTCGATTCGGCGGTCACAGTCGTCAATGTACTTCTGCATGTCGCGCATATAATCGAAATCAAAGCCCCATTTCGCCTTCTCTGACGAAGATGCAGCGTCGTATTCTGCCTTCAAGCCTTCGCTGTGAACCTTCGGGCAAGGGCCGAGGTCTTGCTTTGTGTTGGTGAACAGGTCGTGCGGGCAAGTGCCAGCCAGGTAGGACCGGCAAACTTTTGCGTCTGTGATAGAGAGCTGGGAATTGCGACCCTGGGCGCCAGTTCCAATGAGTTGGTCCGCTAATGGAGGAGTCACTGTCAGCTTGATCCGGAGACATATTGAGGTTTGGAGCTTGGTTTTGAGGGGCACAAAAAGAGTCACATACCTCCCATGAGCTGCTCAAGCAGCTTCCTCTGTTCCGCCGCCATGATGATTGCGTATGCACCAGGCCTTTAAAAAGAGAGATGGCGAGGAATTGTCAATGGGCTGATTAGAGGCGAACTGCGAAGTCTTTCGTTTTTGATGCTTTTGGCGCCAAGGAAGGCGGTGAGGCTCCGCAGTCAACAGACCAGATGGACAACTCTCGCAGCTCTGGGGTTTCGCTTTGCATTTGATGCTGAGCTGCTATTTTTGCTTTGATCTACAGAGTCTGACCGTCCGGAGCTATAGGTCACAGACCTATCCTTTCCTGATTAACAACCCCCTGTCCTGTCAATTGGCATACATGAAGACCGAGCTCCGGCAAGCATGAAGTCATGACGGTCCTCTCGATCCTCTCTTTGCCTTTTGTCGCGCTTCTTCTCTCCTTATGGAACTCGCCGGTGATTGCTTCAGATTATCATGAGAACTTGCTCCTACAACCTCTTCCGCAATCCTCCCTCCTAGCATCATTCAACTTCCGGAGCAATACATCGCAACAATCATTCGACCAACAGCACTTTAGATATTTGCCCCGCGCGCTTGGTCAGATCCTGCAGCACGCTCACACCAAAGAGCTACACCTGCGGTTTACCACGGGACGATGGGATGCCGAAAGCTGGGGGCCACGGCCATGGAACGGCAGCAAAGAAGGAGGCACCGGCGTGGAGCTTTGGGCATGGATTGATGCGCCAGGCGATGATGAGTATGTGCTACTCTCTCGGCGGTGATTTGAGGGACCTGCAATGCTGACATTCTTAGGGCTTTTGCCAAATGGATCACCCTGACTCAATCCCTCTCCGGTTTGTTCTGCGCCTCGTTGAACTTTGTAGATTCGACACGCACCACTCGGCCTGTGGTTTCTTTCGAGCCCACTGGGGACCACTCAGTGGCCGATGAACTTCATCTACTACATGGAACCCTCCCCGGCGAGGTCGTTTGCACAGAGAACTTAACCCCTTTCTTGAAGTTGCTTCCATGCAAAGGAAAGGCGGGTATTTCCACCTTATTTGATGGCCATAAGTTGTTTGATGCAGCATGGCAGAGTATGTCAGTGGATATTCAGCCAGTCTGTTCTCCGGAGGGAGAATGTGTGGTCCAGATCGAGCAAACAGTGGATATGGTCTTGGATATTGACCGGTCAAAGCGGCCTCGATGTGCGTATCATTTACTAAGATCACCATGTTCATCAGTATTAACATAGTAATAGCCAACCCAATCCCTCGACCTGTGCCTAATGACCAGTTGGTCTGTGACACCTCCAAACCTTACCATGCAGATGACACCTGTTACCCGCTGGAAAAGATGAACGACAAGGCCTGGAGTCTAACGGAAATCTTTGGTCGGAGCCTGACTGGCGTTTGCCCTCTTGCAGACTCCGATGGCTCTAGTGAGCAAAGTGTCTGTCTTCGTGTTCCTCACGAACGGGGGGTCTTTATATCTGAGGCAGCCGAAGAATTCAAAAAGGAGGATGGTTTCACGCGCTGCTTCAAGTTGGCACCATCGACATCCTTTGATCTCTCAATTCCACAGCAACCAGTGAACACGGAAGTACCATTGGACGAGCCTGTTCTTCACGCCGAGCGAACTATCGTTGGTCACGGCCAGGAGCGTGGTGGAATGCGCATCATTTTTGGCAACCCATCCAACACCAGCGCCATCGATTTCATTTACTTCGAGTCCCTCCCATGGTTCCTGCGGCCATATATTCATACCTTGCGTGCAACCATCACAGAGAGCAACGGACTCCCACGCGAGATCCCAGCCTCCGATATCATCAAGGAGACCTACTACCGTCCTGCCATTGACCGTGAGCGTGGAACACAATTGGAACTTGCGCTCTCTGTTCCGGCTGCATCGACTGTCACCCTCACATACGATTTCGAAAAGGCCATTCTGCGGTACACAGAGTACCCGCCAGATGCCAACCGCGGATTCAATGTTGCACCTGCAGTTATCCGCATCTTGGACACGGCCCACAATGCGCCGGTTTATATCCGCTCTACAAGTCTTCTTCTTCAACTACCCACCCCGGATTTCAGTATGCCGTACAATGTGATTATCCTCACTAGTACTGTCATTGCGCTCGCTTTCGGGACCGTTTTCAACATTCTAGTGCGGCGCGTGGTCTCCTTGACTGAGGCTGAAGCCCTTGGAGCCCAGAGTTTGAAGGGCAAGTTACTAGGCAAATTGGTGGCTTTGCGTGATCGATTCCGCGGGAAAGATACCAAGGTCGAGTAGCTCATAATTGAAACAAATACATTATAATATTTGAATAGGTCAAACCCTTGGAAAGGAGCAACCTTAGCACTATGTAATAACTTGGTATGCCACGTAATTTGCCGGTAACAATATGGCAGCGGATTATAGCAAGTGATATCATCAAATTTGGGACAGTTGGTGCATTCTACGGAAATAAATTCCAAAAGACAACCTCGGTTATCGTAGACCTCGGTTGTATTGTCAAACTAAAGTAGACCTTATTGCATCTTGAATCACAAGTATATTGCGGGGAGATTGGGGCCGTATACCTGGAACCACGTACAATAGAAACAGATTCAAAGGACCATGGAGGAACTAAACCACATTCTTGAAAGATTCACCGATCCATTGACGGGGTCTCTACACGGCGCAGTCTTCATTGCTATTGACCGTTCAGGTATACCAAAACCCCTCTTCCCCCCACTCCAACAAAGAGGCCTCGGTGTCTTGCTTCTTCTCAATATAATGACCTTAATACGTCCCTGAGATACTGATAGATTCTTACAGGGAAGGTTATCTACAACCACGCTGCGGGAAAAGCAACCTTTGACACGCAAAATGCATCCGTTGCGAGCCAAGACTCTCTATGCTGGATTGCATCAATGACCAAGCTTGCAACAGCAGTGGCTGTTATGCAGCTGGTTGAACGGGGTATTGTTTCCTTAGAGGATGATGTTCGTGAAATCATCCCCGAGCTCAGAGATATCGAGGTTTTTATAGATGGCAATGGTACGAAAATGTCCATTGCACGCTATGACTTCATTTGTTACAGATATCTAATATTATGATCGATATAAAGATGCCTCGCAAGTCTTGCATCATAATAGGCTTCAGCCTCTACGCGAAAGGCTGACTCTGCGGTACGTACTAGTTGGTTTACAAAGCAGAGCATGCAATTTGATGCTTCTCAAATGACAGGAGCAAAATCCATACTAACAGTCTCTTTGCAAGTGACTTGCTATGTCATAGTTCAGGGTTCGTTTATGATGTGTCTTCACCTTTACTCAAAGAATGGTCCAAATCCAGAGGTCGAACAGCCCACACATTTTGTGGCAGCTTGGTAAATTCCCCTTGTTCCTTATCGGTGTAGCAAGTGTGTCCTTAATGTGATCGAATAGCTAAATAAGAATATTGTACTAGGAAGGATATAACCATCCGCTAATCTTTCAACCGGGAACTTCATGGGGTTACGGTGGTGGGATAGACTGGTCTGGACGATTAGTGAGTAACCCTAAATTGTTTCATTTTTTGGGGGTTTAATTCTAAACAACATGAGGTTGAAATCGTGACCAAAAGTACCCTTGAAGAATACATGAAGAAGAATATTTGGTCCAAGCTCGGAGCAAACTCAACTACGTTTCGTCCGGAATTGCATCGCGACACTTTACCTCCACCATTAGAAATGGGATATCGGTTGAGTATTGGCCATGGCGAGAAGTCCATCAAACAAGGGCCCATCATTCTTGGCCAACCGGCTGAACACAATTTGGGTGGAATTGGGCTATTCAGTACACCCACTGACTACATGAAACTCTTATCTAGTCTTCTAGGAGGTGGTTATCCATTATTGTCCGAGTCTAGTATTGATATACTGTTTCAGCCACAGCTGAGTGAGGCGTCTCGAATGGCAATGCCAAAGCCTCTGGGTTCTCAAATGAGAGGAGTTCTTGGAATCAAATGCTTTGATGATCACACACAGGCAGATCATTGTTTGGCTGGGACAATGACGTTGAAGGACATTCCTGGCCGACGGCGAGCAGGTACTGTTAATTGGAGTGGGTTGCCTAACTTGCATTGGGTAAGATCCCTCCTGCTATATTATTATTTTCTTTGCTTTTGCGAGATCTCACGGCATTCAATTGATTTTTATCGGATATTGTATTCTAACCTATGATAGTGGATCGACCGTCAGACAGGGATCACAGCTGCTCTTTTTACCCAACTTATGCCGGCCGGGGATGCAGCTCTTACTGGCCTTTTGATTGAGTTAGAGGTAGCTCTCTATAAGGGACTCAAAGTCAACGCAGACTATTCTAGCAGTGGTTCCAAGTTATAGATGAGATAAATCAATCTATACATCGCGTCACGTCTTATGTGCATCCCTCCTACAATCTGAGATTGTTACTTTCTAACATAATAAATTATATATTCAAGACCTTCATATAGAGATACCTTGCATATTTTACAAATAAAATACATGTACAAATGTCATAAAATATCATAAACATTCAATCAAGCTGATCCGGAACCCATCTACATGTCCAGTTACCTGCCAGGGCCAAGGTTCCTAGCAAAATTCTCGTTAGATATCGATCAATATTTATGACTTCAAGATCAAACTCACAAGCCAGTCTTATCCCTAATAGTATGCCAACCAGGCAAAGTATCCGCCTCACCAGGCTGACGACCCATAAATGAATGATCCTCACTAGCACAAGTCGGCTCTCCACGATCATTCGTGTCGCCGGCCAAGCCTGCTCGCTGAAGATATTTGTTCTGGGCGCGTGATTTCTGGTCATTGAGACCGAGGAACCTACCCATCGTTGATCTGGCGTCGGTTGCCTATAGTTTAATAACATTTATCAAGTCAATATTTGCTATGATACTGTGTTGATCAAGGGTTCATCACATACATCTGCATGGCCTGGCCCTTGGTCGTCGCCTGAGTTCCAGAGCTTGTCTCCCATGCCAGAGCCGCCACCTACATTGTTGGCTGGTGTCGGTTGGGCACTTGTGCCTCCAGCGACGGAGGATGTTTGTTGGTTGCGACTGCTGTTGCCGCCCTTGGAAGCTGCTTCTTGGGGCATTTTGATGTTGACTATGATAGGAGCTGCTAATAACAGCTGTTAGTGAACTATTCTTGAAATATTTTGAGATTTCCGTTGTGTGATTTGCATTGAAAAGAGTAAAATTGGTGTAGCAGTATACTCACGATTTACGTGGGGACAAGAACAGGGATGTAAATATGTTGCTCTTTCGACAAAGGGTGTACAATCAATTGATATGAGGATTAAACTAAACAAATCGACAGGTCTTAACTTTATATCTACCTTTTGGATCTTGACCTCATCCCTTTTTGCCACAACCCCAGATGAAGTCATGATGAGTTAACGCCGCCTGTATGGACACAATCACGTGCATCGAGATTCAAGATTTCCAGTTCGTAATTAAAAGTATATAAACAACAAGAAAATCAAAATATATGAGCTAGACTGATATTCGAAGGTGCGGAATTAAGCGGGTATTGCTACTTTGGCGGCAACTCCATTCAACTTGTCAAAAGCAGCTCTGCGCTTCTGATGATGTAGATGCAGCCATGGTTGCGCCTTCGTATGCTTTTCTACGAGTTTATTACACCTGTTCTAGTATTGATATAAGTTATATATTCCAAGTCACTGATCAAGATTTGCGCGGATGATCCCGATCATACCGAATGACCCTGAAAGCAGGCCAAAGCTGCAACAAAACCGCCCCAACCATCATACACCCAGCAAAGACCTGCGCACGCAAAAAGTCCGCAGTATCCAAATTCACCAGAGCACCCGCAATAGGCGTTCCAGCCAAAGCCCCAAAAGAAGAAATTCCCCACATCATCCCCAAGCGTGTCCCTAGGAATGTGGAGTCCGGACAGAACACTGGATGTGCCACAATAGACGTAGGTGCAGTGACTAAGACACCACTTAAAGCTCCCCAGTAGCAAGACCACACAATAAAACCACCAGTACCGGTAGCAGCAATCCAAGTGAACATAGCAATGGCCGAAGCCGCTACTGCGAATAACAGAATCCCGATTGGCTTGATATATGCAACCAGAAGGTACGGCACAACACGACCAATAACCGAAGACCCGTTAACGATGGCAACCATATAAAAGCTCAAACTGGTCGTGGTATGCACAGCTGCGCGCGCGTAAGAAGCGACATAGAAAATCGGGACGTAGTACGCGAGCATGACACAGGTCAATGACAGCGAGAACATCATAAAGGAAAGATCACGGAAAGCCTTCCAATCAATGAGACTCCTTGCGTGAGTCTTTTGACCCGGATGCCGACAGAGGATGATGCAAGCGACGATGGCGAGAAACAGACTGATAAAGCCGATGCAGCGGACTGCCCACGGGAAACCGATTTTGGGCTGGAGTTGGCGGAACATCACTGGAAAGATCACGGCACCGACGCTTGATCCGATTGATGCGCAGCCAATAGCGATGGGTCGTTTTATGGTGAAATTCGTGGAGATTACGACTAAGGCTGGGATGTAGGCGATGCCGCCGCCCATTCCGACGCAGAAACCTTGGGCTAGGAGGACCTGTTTCGGTTAGCGAATATTGTTATTATGTGGTATCTGGATATGGACATACTTGGTAGTAGGACGTGGCGAGACTAGTCATCATCATTCCAAAGACAGTCAGGAAACTCCCGGATATAATAAGAGGTCGTAGATATCCGACATCGACTAATGGGCCTGTGGCAAGACCAACCATCGGGATCAAGGTGGCTTGAATACTGCCAACCCATGAGATAGTCGAGGGTGTCTCCTCTGGTAGAAGCACAGTCTGGTAGTACTCCTGAAAGGAGCCATAGGTCGTCAAGAGGCCCCTAAGACAACTGTCAGTACTATAAAATGGCAGCTAGTATGAGATACACTCACCAAGAATTCACAAAAACACAGAATCCCGCAAGAACGCTTAGCCAGGCATCCAGGCCACCATTTAACCTCTTTTTCGGAAGATTTGGTTCAGTTCCTTCATTGTTGGATGGGGAGTTATCGCCCAATATAGTGTTCAGTGGCGGTTGAGCCCCGTCAACCTCACTTTTTTCTGACATGGTGGTGTATAGAAATCATGGCAACGTGAGCTATGGAAACATATAAGAGAAGCCTTTACCCCAAAGTCCACAGTGGGGGGAGCTTTCCCACGGGGTTTCCATTAGTCACTTCGGCACTGCGTAGCCGAGCTCTACCGTTTTTGAGCCTTTGCAGTAAGTGGTAACCCCAATTTGGAGACACGGGGACCTCCGCTTTTTACTTGTAGTAGCTAATTAGTTATTAGTCAGCCCTAAGGCAAATACCATGTTCTATTTATTGCTCAAATATAACATTCCACTGTGACTGACTCCGGAGAATTATAGGGAAATATTAACGGCGGCCTCGGAGAATTTCTTGGCTGCATACTCCTACCAGTTGACGCGACACTGGACCAATCACAGGGTCAAGAAAAGCAATAGTCTACACCCATTCAGTAAGATAATATGATTCAATCGTTGTATGTTATTCTTTTGTCATTTACACTATAGGTTGCGTGATAATATTACTACTAAGTAACACCACGCTGGGATTGAAATCAACCTCATAGAACGGAACTATTTCATTTCAAGGTTTGGTTTCAGTTGAAAAAAAAGTATCATACTTTGTTAAGAAAGACTAGCTAGCCTGAGATGGGGAGCTGGAAAGACACGCTAGGAAGACTATCTCATCTACCATCTAGTGACATGTTCCTAAGATCGCGCGTTGTTTGTCTTTTATTTTAATGCATTCAGCATCAACGGTATCTATACCTGCGGATGTGGTGTTCGGATCATCACCGCTCGTCAAAACATTCCATATCCTTCATTATAGCCAAGGAAGATCCAACATTCTCGGCAATGTAAGATTAAATGATGGACGGAGGAGAGAAGGAATGAAGAAGAAGAAGAAGAAGAAGAAGAAGAAGAAGAAGAAGAAGAAGAAGAAGAAGGAGAAGGAGAAGGAGAAGTAGGTAGTGAGTATTTTATAACAAGAAAAATAACCGCATGGCCATAGAACAATCGCATGGCTATGTAAATACAGACAAATAGAACTGATTAATTACGTGTAAGCCTGGCGACCGAGACAAACCCAGAAGAAAGTAACATGAAGGGACCAATACAAGTATTGGCAGGCCCTGGATATAGTATAATATTCTTTAAAAAGGTTGAAGACGAAGCGGAGAGACAAGAGGTGAGCTCTATAGAAGAGAAACAATTGGCTGGTATTTATGCCCTGAAACATAGTGTATAGCATGCAGAAATATTTTTATATGAGCCACTAGTCGGCTATAGGAGAGGGATATCAATTCCAAGTGAGTAACATGAGTATTTTCGTGTCGTGAGAAATTCAAAAGAAAGTCGTCAAAAGGCAATAGAACCATGAAAGGGAAAGGAAAATATGTTCATGAAAGAGATCATCACTCATCATCCTCGAACTGGTCAGCCCAAGTTCCAGTTATGGGCGAAAACGTAGAATCGAGTTTTTCCAATGTCGCTGGTGACTTGGAAGGTGCAGGTGCAGTTGCAGGTGCAACAGTCGTCTCGATCTTCTCGGTCTCGGGTTTCGCCTCCGGCTTCTTAGTGCCTTCAGATAGAGCGGGAAAGTCGCTCTTGTCCAGCCCTGGCGCGGCAGGGCTTGGTGTTGCATATTTACTGTCTGACAGGCCCTTGGACGGCCGCTCGCCGCGGGGTTCGCGCGGAGATCCGCGGCCACGACCGCCTCGTCCACCTCGGCCACGGCCCCTTTGGCTATCAGCGTGGTCGGTGGTATCTTCTGAGCGACCACCGTCAAAGTCTCGTCGCGCATAGCCAGATACGCCTCCGTGCATTCCTCGGCGGAACTGGCTGCCACCACCACGAGGGTTATAATCCTCCTCACGTTTCTGAGAATCCCACTCTCGCCCAGTTTGAGCCTTGAGTTTGCGTTGCCTGTTCTGTTCGCGCTCATTATCCATCACGCGGCGATGCGCAAGTTCCTCGCGACGTTTCTTTGCTGCCACCTGCTCACGCTCCACAAATGAAGCTTGATCAGCCTCAGCGCGAGCATGAGCCGCGGCTTTCTTGACGGCATTCTCCTTAGCGGCCGCAATACGTTTGGACAGTTCCTCTTCGGTGAGTTTCGGCTGGAAGAAGTCAACTTGCTGCTCTCACTCAATTCCACAGGAAAACCTTACCTTCCTAAGACCACCGGTGGCACTTCGATCGCCGCGAACAGCCGGTACTCGCTGAGCCTCCGCGCCATTTGCTTCAGCATCACTTTCCTTAACCTCCCCAGACTGCTCCTTGGACCACTCGACGGCCTTTTCAGGCTTGGAGACGCCCGCATCGCCATGGGATTCGGCCTCAATAGCAGGGGTAGGAGCCTTGCGCCGTTGAGAACTTTCTGACCTCTTTGAATCAGACTCCCGTCCACCACGCCCTCCTCTCCCCCGGTTCCGTCGTCCCCGACCTCTTTCTCCGCCACGGCCCCGCTGCGGAGTCTCCCCACGTGGACTTGGTTTCTCAGCAGCTGGCTTCTCAGGTACCTCTTTTAGGTCAGGTACTGGTGCGGGTACTGGTTCTGGCTCGGGGGCGATGACTTCCGTTTGTGTCTGCTGTTCCTGCGCGGAGACCGGGATGATCTCATCGTCGAATAGGTCGTCGTCGCCGCGGGTCTGCGCAAATTCGTCCATCTCGGGGTCGGCCATTATGTTGGTTTTTAAAGGAATTGCCCGATAAGGCGAATGGATCAGGTGAAGCCTTGAATGCGGGAGTGCGCGGTATATGCAGTTCGAGGGGTAGCTTGTTCGGGGGGCCACGAACGGCGGTCCGTGCGCAGACTAATGGACAGCGAATTATATCACGATCAGCGTACCTGTCAACTGGATTGTTGATGGATTGTCCAAACTATGCGTATTGGAGGGAAGTAAATAACGGGAATTGTAACGGTTCAGATCAACATCTAATCTGCTGGGCAACAGGTAAGGCGGTCTACACTCCGGAGTGCAGTCTTCTGCCGGCGATTCCCGCTTCTTTCTGCCCAGATGACGTCCTTTGATTCTATACAGACGTCGAAATCGGTTTCACCACTTTATTCACTGTGGTTTTTTCATCGACAAGCTATGTCTTTGGGTTAGTCTATTTGAAGTTCTCGAAATGTGTTATAAAAGGCTGGTGAAGGGTTGATACTTAAAATAGAGTTATGTATGGTTAAACCCTTTTGTGTCCGCTATTTTTTGAATGATCAGTGTCCATCTTGTTATGAAGAACTTGTTGCCTGGAGTATACTAAAAGAAAGCATGTAATTGTCTACTTAGATGACATCCACTACAGCTGTGATCTGAAGTACATTTTATATAAAAAGAAAACCAACAGCACCTAAATGCACTGCCAAGCATTCTCATCAGTATAGTTCCCAGGACCCTTAAACACGTTACGACGAGGCCACCTGCAGTGCTTGCGCTTATACTCAACCTTGGAACCAGGCCCGTTCGCAAACTTAGCACCACGAACCGTCTCCGGCGCGATACCCTTCTCAACCCACTGGACCATAGCCATAAGCACATTATCCTCGGGATTGGTACCATCATAAGTCCGAAGGCCCTGGCCGATACCGTATGCACCATCACCGCCTCCACAGTGACCCATACCGCTAATTTGGAAGAAGCGGTAGAACTCATCCAGCTTTGAGGGGGGCAGCTGCATGGTCTGTGAGACGTGGGAGTAATACCACTTTGAATCCTCAGAGCTGATCAACTGGTCTTGCAGACCATGATAGTGCAGGACCTTACCGCCGGATTTCTGGAACGGAGACAGATCGCCTTCCCAGGTTTGGAGGTTGTATGGGTTCTGGGCGAGGGCGACTGCGGCGTCTTTGACAGTGAAGTTCTTCCCGCTCCACGATGGGTTTTCGTAGACGACGTAGCGGTACCAATCTTCGCTGTAGGGGAATGGTGAGCCGTCGTACATGAGAGAGGCGGCTAGCATCTCAGAGCCGGGCTGCATGCGAGGGTACAGTAGCGTGCCGTTGATTCCGTAGAATGGAGCGAGGACTTGGTTGGCGGTGTTGACTTGGGTGCTGGTGAGACAGCTTGTCTTGTTCGAGGCGTGGGAGGTACAGGTCAAGGTTTCCAGAATTGGACGGCAGAGATCGGGATCTTCGATGATTCCATCTTTGGCGCCGTCGATGCTGTCACATTGGCGAATGATTTCGTCGTGTACGATCTGCCATTCGGCGGTTGTTAGGAAGGTCTCGGACCCGGGAGAGCCGGTGATGGGGTAGAAGTGTGCGCTCCATGAGAACAGGTTGATGAGATTGATAGCTGGGGCACCGGCAACCACACCGTCGAAGTCATTAGGGAACTTCTGAACGGACTTGAATCCTTGGCGGCCACCTGTTGAGCATCCCAGGTAGTAGCTCTTGTCGAAGCCCTTGTCGTAGAATTGTTTGGTGAGCTTCTTGCCCACGACAACTCCTGTGTGGACAGAGCGGTATGCGTAATCCTCAACCACTTCTGGGTGTTGGTAGAATGGCTTTCCAGAGGTGCCATTGTGTCCATTATTGGCTCCGACCGTGGCGAAGCCTAATTGAGCTGTGTATGCCAGGTCATAGTATTGAATACCTGATCAAAGGTTAGCACCAGCCATAATCTATTGTTGGATTATAATTAGTAGACTTACAACCAGAGATACCACCGTTTCCGGTGCTCAAGAATCGACCTTTATACTCTTCAGGGAACCAAGCTTCCAATGTAATCTCACTGCTGTTGGAAGTGGATACAGCCATAGCAACTCGGCATAGGTCCACCGAGACGACCTGAGAGAAGGCACCACAGCTAGTAGGATTGTCCGACAAGGACAAGTTGGTACCGCCCTGCACAAACTCGGCGAAATTAACCTTCACATTAGGAATGTTAATCTGATCGGCAAATTTCGCACATTTGGATTTGAAGGCATCCTGACTAGCCAAAGCAAGTGAGCCCAGAGCCAGCAGGGGCAATGCAGAAACTCGAGTCATGTTGAGAAGTAGAAGATGAACAGACTAGCTCCTGTACGAAGCATCAACTTGGATGGAAACCCAACTAAATATAGTAGGATGACATGCGCCGAGGCACCAACTCTTAGCTTCATGGCTGTATCAATGGACCTGTAAATCGGCATACGTGAAGTGTTGAAATCCCGGGCTACGGTTGTGGGGAAGTGACGAAATAAACTGCAAGTTCCGAAGTGGTGCCGAAAGGGACGGGACAGCGATATGCTGGACCACACGAATGAAACAGGCCGTAGCGTCGACTTGACCAATGCGAGGCGGTCCACAGAGACTAGTGAAGCTTGGCCAAGGGACGATCAGGAGCAGCCGAAATTACAGGTGCTTGTACGTGTTATGTACTCGCGGAAATCCCTAGACGGGGGCAATCCGGGGATTCCCCCAGCTATGGAATTAGATAGCGACACTCTTAACAAGGGGTAAGATTAGCTTGTAGAGCTAGAGCACACTAAAGTAGTAACGTACATGTATACTGTACATGTTGGTGAGACCCTGTGAAATGTAAGAATCTCATAGGTCCCCGCCTCTGCTTTTTCCAACTCTGTAGTACAACAAAATCCCTCATTCTTTAAAGATATGGTATTAATCTGTGCGCGTACATGCGTGATGCTGTTGGCTTCTTACATGTTACAGATTAATGCTTCGCATAACAGCCAATAGCATCAATTATAGCAGTGATCTGCGAATTCATTAGAAGCGCTGCCTATCGTCTCCGCGTCTGATCTACAGTATGTATCAGCTTTTAAAGATATCCTAGTGCCTTAACGATAGTCATCGGATCCAACCTATTTTTCTTACGACTTACAGTACCCAGGTATAGCTGATCGGTTCTGAACCAGGAGCTATGGCCACCCTGGTCAAGAACTACCAATTGGTGGTTTTCTTCGAATCATGCAGTATTCAGCTTTGATAATGCCCTCAAAGCTTGAAATAAATACCGAGTCTAGCACGAAGAAGGGAATCGGGCAATTTCATGTGGAATTGAATAGAACGAGCGAGTGATGAGAGAGTGATGAATAATCCCGAGGCTAACATAGGCACCGTAGAGAGTTGGGAGGAATTTCCAGTGACTGAATCTCTTATCCGGACCACGGGAGACTTAGCGCTGTCAATTACCCTCGCCTGCTTATTCTCATGTGGTTTTCTGGTCACTCATACACCTGTCCCTTGTGGCTGGCCAACGTCTGCCTAGTGCCGTTTGAGCGCATCACAGGCATCCCAAGCATTTTCTCCACATGACTGTATTGACACTGATGTCTCCAGCATTGATTACTCTTGTGCTTTCCTTTGATCCTCCCTGTACACCGCCATACAGCCCGTGTCCTGACATACAACCTGCGTTTGGAAGCAAAGATGATGGTCGAAGAGTCGTAGATTCTCGAGGGGCGGGGTTGGGAAGTGGAATGTCTGGAATGCGGTTGCAGTGGCGTAGAGTTAGATGGTTAAGCGATACTCCGGGGTGTTGAATGGGCGGACCGACTGCTGATTTGGGCCACCGGGGTCAGATCCCCAGATTCTCCACAATTGCGGGGAAGCCCTCCTTGTTTGGGTTGAAGGCTATTGAACTCGGCACTTGTCAATACAGCCGTGACCGATTAAATACTAGCAGCTGTTAGTAATTCAAAAGGCAAGCATTATAGACTATTCACTGACCGCCAGGCTTCAATCGCTCGCTGGCGCGCCCCGATATTTCGGATTTTCGCCGCGTGTATCGCGGCATGCACGATCAACTCATGTCGCATGGCCATGGTTTCTTTTTGCAAAGCCTTGAGTCTCGTTCTGAATTCCATTATCACGCGGTGTTGCTTGAGGCACTCGTTGTTCAAAGCCTCAACTTGGTCAAGGGTTTTGTGGCTCCCTAGAGGTACCGCAAACCGGGCCGCGAGATCTTCGTACACCGTAACTTCAGCATTCAACTGCTGAATGAGCTTTTGCTGTTTATTGCAATGGGACTTGAGGCGTTGCATGCAGTAATTGATACTTTTGTTCATCGATTTGATCTCGCGACGGAGCTGCCACAGGCTGAATTCGACCATGATGTACTGAAGACACACTGCTGCGTAGGTCACCGTCAACACAGTTATTATCGGGCCGAAAATAATCAGCGAAGTAGTCCGATCCATGACTGTGGATGGGATGGGGCCATGTTGTGATTTGAGGTGAGGTTGGCGACGGGGTGGTTGGATGTTGACGAAGGTGAGAGGAAATGGAAAGAGCAGGTGGGTTATGTTTGACCAGGCACTGTTCTCAGCCTTCACCACCTTGAGTTATGAGGCAGATCAAAAATTGTAAACAGGTATATTTCACTACAGCGAACAACAACAGCAATTTAGATCGAGGACGTTAATTGACTTGACATGTACATGTGTGTTGATCAGATCTCAGATCTGCCGATCTGCCAACCTTACTTCCCGCGAATGATGTCAGCGGCCCGTTCCGCCACCGCATACACCGTTGCAATCGGGTTCGCATGGGGAATGAGTGGGAAGACACTCGCGTCGACAATACGCAGATTCTCAGTCCCATACACCTTCAACTCCTGATCGACTACCCCTCCAACCTCGCGAGGAAGCATCGCAGCAGTACCACACGCATGGTGAGCAGTCAACGCTGTTTCCTCACGGAGCATGTTCTTGATTTCCGCGAGGTCTGGGACCTCTG